GGACCAGGACGATGAGGCTGCTGGGAACTGGAACTGCTCAGGCTTTTGCTAATTTAAAGACATCAAAGAAGAATGGGGGGCGGCACACTGGAGGCTAATGTGTGGGCAGCAGTGTCACAAGATGTTCCTGAAACAATTCAAATGTTTGAAACAAACAAGACAACTCCACTTGGACTAATTGTTTTCAGAGGATTAAAGTTTCCAAATATCCACCAGCTTCTGCCAGTCATGGGAAGACTTGGGAGGGGAGGAAGGGAGGGCCAGCGGCTCTAGCTGCAGGTCCTCTCTCTAGTGACCAACTAACATATTGCAACCCTCCCCTTCCCTCTGCGTCACTGCTCTGAAGTGAGCACACGAGGCCAACCAATAAGACAGTGTTTGTCCGTCCCAGGATACAAGCATCTCAGCCCAAAAATGTAAACATCTGGCAAGCATTTGGACTCCCCACAGATTAGGGTTGACAAACAGCCTGAAAAAAAACTTCAATCCTGTAAAGAATTCCTGGATAAAACTTGAAATCATCAACGTTTGTCCTCGGCAAAAGCCTGGGACTCTCCCACACTAGTCCTCTACTGTGTTTTGCTCATTTTTTCATGATGAGGAAGTCTAAAGCAATGAGTGGCACATATTTTTCTTGCTTTAAAGCCAACTCAGGTAAATTGTTGACACTTTTGTTAAATGAAATTAGTTATTTCAGCTCTTAGATCTGTTATTCGTAGTGAAGAGTACAAGTTGTACAGACTTGGATATTGCTCTGGGACACACACTCCAGACAAAAGGTTGAAACAGCTGACCTAGGGGTCAGCAATACTCCAGTTTTCTCACAAGCTTTCACTGAAACTCAACCCAGGATGAAACCAGTGTGGTATTCTTCTATTACTTGTGACTCTTGTATGAACTGTAAACATCTTTAGCATGCTCCCACCATCAATGTAGTCACATGCCAGCTGACAGACAAAGCAGAATCACCATCATCCCTGCATCAGTGTGTGTGTGGTGTGTGTGTGTGTGTGTGTGTGTTCATTCTTAATCCTTTAATATGTCAAATTTATTACTGTTAAAGTGGATTCAAATACATTTAATCTGCTGCAACATCCCCCACTTAATAATGTCGGAATCAGCTAAAAATCTTGGAATTTCACACTAAATACTAACAACAATCCCTCAAGTATCCAAGCAAACATTAGGAGAACGCACAATCGGTTAGAAACTTGGTGGACTTACCCCGATAGATCAGTGAAGCATATTCAGAGGCGTTACACAAGTACTTCAGCGGCTGTTTTCGTGAAAGTCGGCGACGTGACTTCACATAATGATGCCTGGTTTGAGGAGCAGGAGGCTGAACGGTGCTAAAGCTACAGCCCTATGTCAGATTACCCACCCGCCGCCGCTGCTACAGCTGCTCCTGAGCGGCTCTCCCGAGCTTCCTCCTGACACAAGGTCGCGGTTTTCTCCGTCACAGGCTGCTGATGCGTGGGGAATTCCTAGCAGTCACATTTTCCTGGGAAATAATTGGCTCAGTCGCAAAGTTTGGCATGTCTTGTCAGAGGCGAGTTTTACACCATGAGGCAAAAGTATCTTTTTGTTATCTCGGTTTTAATTTAATACAAAACAATGGTTCAATTCCTTGGTACAAGTTAAAGAAAACAAGCCTTTTTTTAAACCGTTACTCACGCGCACAGGTGCGAGTTTACTGGCAATTAACCCAACTCAGTGGAGTGCGCTAATAAAGTGAAGAACGAAACCGCTGTTGTTTAAGCGCTGTTCGGCTGGCTCGAGATAGGTTTTGGCAGACAGACAAGAGGTAACGGGCATCTTCCGGGAAATGTGGGTTACAGACGGTAATTCCTGAGGGGGCGGGGTCTATCATAGATTCTCTGGAAAACATCATGTCTGTATCCAATAATACAGCCAATGAGGAATTAATGTTGGCAGTGACAGGAACACATCAGTCCACTCAAAAGTATCAGTTCCCATACCGGGAGTCGAACCCGGGCCGCCTGGGTGAAAACCAGGAATCCTAACCGCTAGACCATATGGGATCTGTATATGATCCCATGAAGGCGCACATATCTATTATTTTTGTGATTTGGAGATGTATTTCTTTTTTGCTTTTGTATATATTTGTTTACGATATACATTTATAATTATATTGTATGATAGGTTTTGCAGAAAGACGAGACGTAACGGGCATCTTCCAGGAAATGTGGATTACAGACGGTAATTCCTGAGCGGGCGGGGTCTATCATAGATTCCCTGGAAAACATCATGTCTGTATCCAATAATACAGCCAGTTGGTCCACTCAAAAATACTAGTTCCCATACCGGGAGTCGAACCCGGGCCGCCTGGGTGAAAACCAGGAATCCTAACCGCTAGACCATATGGGATCTGTATATGATCCCATGAAGGCGCACATATCTATTATTTTTGTGATTTGGAGATGTATTTCTTTTTTGCTTTTGTATATATTTGTTTACGATATACATTTATAATTATATTGTATGATAGGTTTTGCAGAAAGACGAGACGTAACGGGCATCTTCCAGGAAATGTGGATTACAGACGGTAATTCCTGAGCGGGCGGGGTCTATCATAGATTCCCTGGAAAACATCATGTCTGTATCCAATAATACAGCCAGTTGGTCCACTCAAAAATACTAGTTCCCATACCGGGAGTCGAACCCGGGCCGCCTGGGTGAAAACCAGGAATCCTAACCGCTAGACCATATGGGATCTGTATACCTATTGTGGCGCACATTTATCTTATTCTTGTGACTCACACAGACGAATATTTTTTGCTTATGTATATATTTGTTTATGAAATACATTTATAATTATATTGTATGAGCTATATATTTTAAATGCCGAGACCAACATTGAAACCTTTATTTTTATTGCGTTCAAGCACTCTAGAGTCTGGGGCCTACGCACCATCTTGTGGTCTTGCAGTGGTACTGAAAAAATGAAATGAAACAGCGTAGCCGCCATATTGGATGGGTCTCTTCACTCTCCAACGCAGGGGTACCCAATCCTGGTCCTAGGGGGCCAGTATGCAGCAGGTTTTTTGGTTTCTCTGCACCAACACACTTGATTCGGAGGTTGAATCACCTGTGCAGCAGCTCGTGAACCTGTTGATTGAAATCAGGTGCACTGAAGGAGAGTTAAAACTAAAACATGCTGGATACGGTGTCGGTACAGGATCTGCTCGGGTGCAGGATCTGCTCGGCGTCCTTCCACTAGCGATGACGTCAAAGTAGTTGATTGGCTGAACATGAAGCTTACGGAAGTTACGTTTTCACGTTATGATTTTGATTGGTTAGAACAAATTTGCGGTCGTAGTCTTAGCGGCTGTAGTCCTGTAGTCCAAAAATCAACACTTTTTGGAGGAAATATGTTTGAATTTCTAAAGGAAATATAAAATATAAGCAAATATAAACAGTGACCCTCAAAAGCTCTTGATGTTGATGAAATAGGGCAAAATAAAATATAAGAACTTTACTGAAGGACACCAAGCAATATTTTGAATCAAATGATGTATTTAGATAACAACTAAGGAAATATACAGGCGAACTCCACATTAATACAAACAGATATGGCTGACATATAAGAACTGTTCTATTTTTTGTCAGTCCGATGTTGGTTTTATGCAGTTTCACATTCTATACAAAACAAAGATAATATGGTGTTTTATTAACAAATTACAATTATAAAGAAAACATTTAGGTGTTAACAAAGAAGAATTTATTAACAAAACTGCTGATGTCTTTCCAAAACGTATGTGTGAAAGCCGAGTAGATTTGCAGTAATGTGACGTCAAGGACCCCGAGCCGATCCTGCACCCGAGCAGATCCTTTACCGACACCGGCCCTCCAAGACCAGGATTGGGCACCTCTGCTCCAAAGGCAACGCAGAGAGAGCAACTATGCCCATTTTGTGCAGTCTACTGTTACAACAACTGGTGTACTATTGAAAAAAGATAATGTGACATTACTAGTGACTTTTCTAGCCTACCTGAAATGATTTTAGATTTAAAATTATTATTATTTTGTTCATTTTTTTATTTAATATTATTTTATATGGTAGTGACCAAAGCCTCTGGTTGTAGAGCGCACCAGACTTAAGACCAAAGGTGACAGATCATTTGCTGCTGTGTCCCCCAGACTCTGGAGCTCTCTCCCCCTGAGCCTGAGATCAGTGGACTCAGTGGTCTCCTTCAAAAAGCAGCTGAAAACTCACCTGTTCACGCTGGCTTTTGCGTGACCTTCATCACCACCCTCTCCTTATTCTGTTTTTTCTACCTATTCCACTTTTCCCTAGATCCACTAATTTCCCTCTTTCCTATTCATATTCATATCTCATTTTCCTTACACTTTCTAAACACTGTTTTAATTTCTTTCTTTATTTAATTATCATGCCATAACTTATGTCTGATTTTGTGAAAAAGCTTGATAAAATGTGTTTTTTAGCTGGGTAAGTCCACTCCTTGGTAGAAATGAAGGCACCGGGGGCGCACGGAGACCCATCTAAAATGGCGGCTGGCCACTGCGACAAGCTCCAATAGGCAGCGCCAGTCTGTAGGAGAAGGAAGGATACACTATTGGTCTACAGGGTGTCTACGTTTGTCTGTGGCTGAAACCAGAGAATACTTAGTGCTTAAAAAGTTGCTGCACGTAAATCCTCGTGGATTAGATAATACATTGACATGTGTAAAATACATGAAAACGAGAACATCAAAGCAATACAACCAAAATAGCAAATAACTTAACAAATAACCAAATGTGGGTGCAAACATATGACGCAATTTAGGGATGGTGTCCTTCAAATAACATTAGCAATACCAAAAATAATCCAGCAATGTTCATAATAATTTAGAATTCGTTATTCGGGTAACGTTGACATCTAACTTTTGTTGATTTATTTATGTTGCATAATTGTGAATTTGGGGGTTTACGGTTCAGAAATGCATACGTTCTCGAGAACTTTCACCCTTTTTCCAGTGTAAATGGTATCGCCCGTAGGCTCAGAGGCAGCCAAGTATTTGTCAAACTAGTAGCTACTAGCTAACGTTGGCTGGCCAGCTAGTATTAGGGAAAATACCACATTTACATTTTTTTTTTATTTCAGCAAGAGCCGCTGAAGTGTTTGTTGGATAGTTCGCTTTCGGTGTTAAGAGGATGTCAACTCCAGCAAGACGACGTTTAATGAGAGACTTTAAACGGTAAGTTTATTGAAAAACAACTGATAACTAGCTATTGCTAATGTTAGCATGCCGAAGCTAGTTTGCTAGCCTTATTTTAGTCTTTAAAAAAGCACATAGTATCACAAATAGTTTGTAGAATTAATGAGTACAGTTGTATTGGGCCTAATAGTAATCGTTATTTGGTTTTAGCGAGTATAAGAACAAATGATCTTTACAAAAACAATTTCATTATGCTCAACTACCACCGGCAAAGGCAAAGCAGTCGGAAGTTGCAGCGTCTTGATTGAGTAATTCACGATTCCTGATCGCCGTAGACGTTTGAAAGAATTGCTGTTTAATCTCATGTCAGCATGATGATCTGTGTGAATCCTGAAGATATTTGTGGGTTTACAGATGTAGTTTAAGTGAGTGGCCAAATAGCCCTTTAGGTTTGGATAGACTGTCGACCGTGGTCTAGACAGCTTCCTAGGCCAAGATAGATTACCACCTAAGATTTGGGATCAACAACCATCTGCCATGGATTCACTGAACACCAGATTACCACCTAAGATTTGGGATCAACAACCATCTGCCATGGATTCACTGAACACCTGCACACACAAATATTCACCCGTGGCACATGGTGTTTGCTACATATGTTCCACTCAAACAATACCGAAGGCCAGAGATCTGGCCTAAACCTGCCTTCATATTGTTTTGACTATTAAATAGCTCGTTTTAAATATTAATTAATCCATCAGTGTCCTCTGCTACAGACCCAGCAGAAAATGGCATTGTTTAACGTAACTATAGGGCTAAAAACCTCTTTCTCAACATTTTTCAACTTTTACTGCAACATTTTCAATAATTTAAAATGGAAAGACTTTCTACCTGGGATGGGCATTGGTTAATGGGCTTACATTTGACGGTGCATCAGAAGGTGTGACTTATGAATATTTGCAATTAATTATACAATGGACTCCCAATACATAGTTGTGACAACTTTGTCTTGTGTGCATTATGGTTTGAGTGAAACCTGAATGTTTCTCTAATTTGTTTGTGTTCTTTTTGTATTCATCAGGCTGCAAGAAGATCCTCCAGCTGGAGTTAGTGGTGCTCCATCAGAAAACAATATCATGGTGTGGAACGCCGTAATTTTTGGGTACGTTTGTCAACTAAAATATCATAGATCTAGTAACTGTTCAGACTGGTAAAATTCCACTAAGGTCAAATTATTTGACCATCGACCCTTCGCCAATAATATTTTTATGAACAGTTCTTTTTTCCAAGAAATAATCTCACAGATGGGACATTACAAACCTCTGCATCTTTTTTGCAACATCTGTTTTATGTACATATAGATATTACACAAAAGCTAGATTTCTCGTGATTCCAGTGATGTATTGGAATCATGGGAAAAAGTCCAAAAATATAAATGTTTATTCACCCGTGACTGAAAGAGTACGAAGATACACAGCAAATTTTTTTTTTTTCGTGGACGGCAATGACGGGAAACATGGGTTTAGAGGTGCCAATCGCATTAAAGGCTGAATATGGAACCTGGACACTCTGGTGACACCTAGCGTTTAGAGGTGGTAGCTGCAACAACAGAAAACATTTCCAGCCGTCTTGGTGTTGGTTCGTTGCTTACGTGTTAGGTGAGCAGCCAGCACCATGTCCAGTGACAGATCGTATAGGATAAGGACTAATTTCTATTACTAAGTTTATTTACGGTGCCCTCTAGTGGCTGGTAGATGTAACCATAAACCCAGTGTCATGCAGGGCAAAATCAAAATTTGATTTTTTTTAAATATAGCTTTTAAAGGAAAAAATGTACATTAATTGTGCACACCTCTAAACGCCCTGTGTTTTTATTTTTTAATATAGCTTTTTATTTGAATGTTCCATATTCCACCTTTAACAGATGGAAGAGAATGCTGGGGCAAAATCATCAGCATTTACGTTTATGTTTATGTATTTAGCAGACGCTTTTGTCCAAAGTGACTTAAGCCTGATTCGTGCTTCTCCGTCTGCGTCAGCGCGGAGACACGCAACGTCCTTGTGGGCCTGCTGGAGAGCTCCGCAAGGACGGACGGAGTCGAGCTCTCTTTTCTAAACATCCGTCAGTCGAGACGGACAACGCAAGCTTGTGATTGGTCAGGACGCCGCTGTCGTCTACACCGCCGCCATTGCGCCCTCAAAAACATAAAGAGAGCCGAGGATAACGAGGCAGACACGGAGAAGCTTGAAGAATACCTCGCGAGAAAACTCTAAAAACATGAACGTTTAATTCCCTCGTGACTGGAGGAGTGAAAAGATACGCAGCAAGCGTTTTATTTGTGGACGGAAATGACAGGAAACGTGGGTTTAGAGGTGGCGAGCGCATGAAGAAGTGGAGGAGAACGAGAGATAAATTTGTCTGTGTTAAAAAGTCTCTTATATAAAAAAAACACAATATAAACACACTATCTTGGACCGGATACATGACAGGATACCACAGAACAGCGCTACGCCCTCTGTTGTCCTGGTGGGGAATTGCTTTGCAACGCTCCCCAGGAGACGGAGAAGTATGAGAGCAAAACGCTTCCGTCAATCCGTGCGTGTCTGTCCCTTGCGGAGCTGACGGAGAAGCATGAATCAGGCTTTACAAGTGATTGGGTCAGCAGAAAATCCATCCTCAAATGGCCCCCAGGCCATAGTTTGGACATACCTGGCCTTGAGATGGTCTACCTCCTGTCAGACACAGAGGACAATAGATGTAGACGAAATCAACGCTAAACCATCACTCTAGGTTTTTTTTTCTCGTGTGCCTGGTATTCAAAGAACCCAAAATGCACTTTTTTTTTTTTTACAAAATAATTTCAGTCAGGCGTATCAACATGTCTTACACGTTTGCTGTCTTTTTTTCTGTTTTAGACCAGAGGGTACACCTTTTGAAGATGGTATGTCCGTTTTCATATTTTATCTTTGTGAACCAATATATTTTAATGCCTGTGTGATGTCAGTAGAAGAGGGCAATGAAGTTCAGACGTGTTTGTCACTTTTTCCAGATGGTTCTTGCATTTCACTTCACACATTTTTTTTACTTTCAGGAACCTTCAAACTTACCATAGAATTCACAGAAGAATATCCAAATAAACCACCAACAGTGCGATTTGCCTCCAAAATGTTTCATCCTAATGGTATGCAGTAACAATCTGATCCTATTGTTTATTTTTACTGCTGGAACATTTGAGACTTAATGATCAAAATGGTTTTGTTTGTTTTTTGCAGTGTATGCAGATGGTAGCATATGCTTAGATATACTTCAGAATCGTTGGAGTCCAACTTATGATGTGTCTTCAATCCTAACTTCAATACAGGTATTAAAATCCCCTTTTGTATAAATAAATGTGTTTTTACGCTGTTCGTTTAAACTTTGAGTTTGTAAACAAGTAGATGTGTTTACATCTATTTTTACACATTTAATGACGGACAAGCTCAACGTGACAGCTGTCATAAAACCTTATATGAAACCTAACCCACTGATGTTCTCTGGATATTTAAAGTCTTTACTGGATGAGCCAAACCCAAACAGTCCAGCCAACAGCCAAGCAGCCCAGCTCTACCAGGAAAACAAACGGGAGTACGAGAAGAGGGTTTCTGCTATTGTTGAACAGAGTTGGCGTGACTGTTGACCTTTGTTTCTGTTAAGAGTATGAACAAGTGTCCAGCCCTGAATCAAGAAAACAACACACCATAAACCCCTTCAGTATGTCTTCTACTGTTTGTATGCTGTAGTGCTGTGGCATTCACTCCTGCTGAATGCTGTGTGACAAGAGCAGTGGTTTGTCAGAAGCTCATGTACCTTGTTATATCTGGGTTACTTGCTATGTGCACTAAATCTTTACTTAGTGTGATGGGCTGCACCTTTTACCTGTTTAACTCAAGTATACTGGTTGGTGGTCAACTGTGTGGTTTGCTGTGTAGATGCTGCCAGTTTATATATATAAAAACCTAAGCTATGGGGTTTTCTTTATTTCAGTGGACTTCACCCCCAAACATTCAACAGATGCCTTTTGGGGGTGTATGTTTTCCACTCTGCTTCTCTTGCCTTTTGAATAAAAAACATTAAACTTGTCAACACAAACAATATTTAGCATCCAGACTAGACACCTAACTTGATTTCAGTGTAACAAATGCTAACATTTAACCCATTTAGACATGCAGCAAGATTATCTAAATATTTTTAATGGTGGAATTGTTTTAATGGGTTAACTGTGAAAACATTTCTATTTTACTATCTTATAACAGTGTCTTTCAGATTTTAAAACCTTGCACTGGTAACCCATGTAACGAACTGTACATTCTCTTGTAAATAAAGTAAATATACATCATTTTTCTTGTGTTCTTTTAATATCTGACACAATATGAAACCAGTCTTATCAATTTTATTTAATAAGTATGTACAACTGTGAAAACAAGCAGACAGGCTAACTGTACTCACAAACAGTCCACATTTAACAAAGACCACAATTTTGAGATTTTTTGACCACTGACGCAGCTTCTGTGGGACTATGCCGTAAAAACTAATACTGCGATTACAGATATCACTACAGTGAGACTGGAACGCTTAGCTACAGTTGGATGTTAATACCACTCCAATCCTTGTTTTTAATGAGTCAGTTGTCATAATTTTTCCAAAACAAGCAAAAAAGCTGCATATTCTGCCAGGTTTATAAATAAAACAATGATTTTACAAACAAAAGTTTCTCTATTGAAATGGAAAATCTTCACTGTCAGGAGATAATCCCACAAAGCAGACTACAAGCTCAGATGTACAAAGGCTGGAAACTAGGATTACGCACCCCGCTGAAGTAGAGGAGCTCACAGTTGAGGAATGCAAAAGTCCGTTATACCTGATCATTTCCAGCCTATTAAATGATCTGGATTACAGACAGCAGGTACACTTGGGATAGTTTTAAAAGTCCAACTTGATGGAAATTAGCCTATTTTCCATGCATTTTAATGAGAGGCCTGAGGTTTAACAAGCTCGTATCGTCCCACCTGTCCTTCCTGTAAAAGTTGACCTATCAGCTGGTCTTTGTGTACTTTGCGACTCACAACAAGAAACCGCTGCCATCCCTGTCCGTATGACTTGCTCCGTAGGCCGTACTTCTGGGACACCTGATGGATCTGTTTTCGCTCATCATTGGTCAGCTCATTGGAGAACCGAAGGTCGTCTGTTCGGTCTGAACTGGCATAATTTCGAATTATGTCCTCAATGTCGCGCTTGGTCAGCTGATTCCCATTTTTATCCGTGTCCATCCCCAAACCTTCTCTGGAGAACTGCTCTTTCACTCTGATTGGTTCTGCGATACCCTCCCCATCACGGCCCAGACCACCTCCTTTCCAGCCCATTTTACGGAGAAGCTGGTTTCCGATGTTGTCTTCCTTGATCTCTTGCTTTATGGCCTCCTCACCTGAGCGACCTTGAATCTGAGAACGGGAAATAGTGTCGTTGTGTCCTTCCTTTCGCAGGTTGGATTTCACCACAGCTTGCGTTTGTCTTAAAGTCGCTAAAGCCTCATTTGCAGCAATGTGCTTAACCATTTTCTTTGGCCCAATTCCTGCAGCAACATATTGTCCTTCGAGATACACTTCACACTTCCAGCGATGATCAGGTAGAACTGAGAATTTGTAATCAGCGGTGACTTTATTAAACTGAGCAGTATCGTTTATGATGCAGATTGCATTGTCGGAGTTCTCGAGGACTACAAGCTCACTCAGTTGCTTCTTGTTACCTTGCTGTCCTACATGTCCACCAATATGTGACTGGTTATTTCCTCTGGAGGACTGTGATTGTTGCTGTTGCTGCTGGTGTTCTCGTTGTGCTTGGTTCATTCGAAGTTTGTTCACTGCTGCTTCAGCTGCAGCGTGCTTTGAGCTCTTTTTAGTTCCTGACGCCTGTGCGACCAGCTCATCCTGCAGGAAAACACTACACAGCCACATATTGTTTGGTAACTGATCAAACTTGTAATCAATCTTCATGCGATTGAAAGCATTCGAGTTGTTCAGAATGCAGATGGCATCATGAGCATTGTCCATGACCACAAATTCTGTCCAGTGTTTATGCCTGTCAGGCTCATACTGGTTCTTAGAGCTGGGTGCTGGTTTGTCTTCTGGATTTCGGAGGGCAGGTAGAAATGGTGGCGTTGGGCTGTGCATCTGGCACACAACCATGTCATTGACTATTAAACGTCTGTACTTCCGCTGCACGAGGCGAACCTCAACTGGTTTTAGGAACAGCTTGACAGCCTGCTCAGAAGCCCGGTCTCTTGCTCCATTTTTGCTGCCAGAATATCCAGTAGCAAGATACACACCCTGACATCTTAATTCACAGGCATAACCATCTGTCGGTACTTTTCTGTTCTTTGGTAGGTCCGCTGGAGGAATGTCTTTCAGGTTGACATAAATATACTCAGGGTTGGTTTTGCAGGCCTGGATGCTGCGGCTCAACATGAAATTATAGTTTGGTGAGTCACTCCCAGTCATTAACACGGGGTTCCGGAAAGCTATGGCCAGTGCATTAGCAACACTGGCAATAAGCCTCTGCTTTTCATCTAAAGTCAACTGAGAAACCAGATGAGGCTGTGAAGGGCCTGGCAGAGACACATTAGGACTGCTTCTACCCGGACTGTTGTACACTCTGCTAAAAGGCCCACTGGATGAGGGCCTGTCCTGATGACCGTAACCCAAACCCTGACGTCCCGAATCCCAACCTCCAGTTCTACTACCTCCTCCATGCCCATTGAATCTCTGGGGCTTAGAATAAGAGTCCAAGCTGTGAAAAGAGGCGTGGGCTTCGTACTTGGCTGTGTAGTCCTGCTGTGTTTTAGACATATAGTTTGAAGATGATCCATGACCTCCATAACCTAGTCCACTAGTGCTACCTGAGGAAATCTCTCCGTCTCTGTGAGAACCCCAAAAGTCAGAAGAGTGTGATGGCATTCGGTCAAAAGCAGGCCTAAGAGAAGAGAAGCCCTGTGCCCTGCTAGTGCTGCTGTAGAAAGATGAGGTGGTGTGTTGGGAATCCCAGTGTCTCACACCATGTGACTCACTCCTCCTGCGCTCCTTATTGTTTTCCTTCTCATCAGTACCAAATCCTCCACTGTTTCCACCACTGACAAAGTGCACAGGTTCAAACTGAGGTCTGGAGCCGAATTTTGTGACAGGCATTTTCCTCATGGGCTCGTCTCCTGCAGTAACAAGATTTTGCATTAGAAAACATGAATCTAGCAATAATCTGCTGTTTATATGCCAGAATAGGACAATCAGCTTGGTCAAAATTTCCAAACGTTTATAGTAGCTGAAGATTTCGCACTACTACTGCGAGTGCGATGATTAGCAAACCAGCTTTTTTGCAGTCAAACACTAGTCTAACCCAGATATGTTGGGTTATAATAAATGTGTATAATGTGTGTAAGCATCAAAATGTAAACATCTCCAAACACATGCAGCAGCCCAACTCAGATCCCTCACCGCCATCAGAAGAAAGAGGTCTCTTTTTTGCTTCTGAACCATAACTTGGGTCAAAGGATGACATTTCGCCCGCGTCAGTCCTTTCTGCCATCACCAGCGCCGTCAAATCCGGGCCATGCCTGTTAATGAAAACGAAGATGTATATAAATGTAATTGCTAAAAATATAATATCATCTGAGACAAATTTGCAAATATCTATGAGTTGTCATTAATACCGAGCAATGAATCTTAAAGATCAGTAGGATTTAGAATTAACACGAGGCTCAGCAGAGTGACGCAGTCGGTGACAAGCAAGCACGTTTATCAAGACAGTTGTTACATCTATAAACACAATGTCAAACTAGTTGTGTCTATTATTTTTATTACCTTAAGATGTAGCCTCTAGTCCAAGTTATGCTTCTGTAACAAGCTGGGGAAATCGCACAATTTCATTAATACAACGGTTCGAAATATCCGGCTAGCCTCTTTTAGCTAGCTAGCAACTCCGAAGCCTAAGGGTTTCTAACCGTTCCCAGGGTCATTGTGGTCTACAGGGAAACCAACTCGCTACGCTGTGTTTTCAAATGAGACTCCATAAAACCAGTAATATGTAGCACAAAGCTCTAGCAGATATACAGAAACATCAAGAAGAAGCATCCATTTTCTGGTCACAGCATAAAATCATGGCGTCGAAGACGTCAATTCTTCTACTTCTGTGGTTTAATGGCTGCTGGCAAACTGAAAATGTACAATACCGCCACCTACAATCCTTCATGTGTTACACACATTGGAAACATGAAATCTGCATCCTAGTTCGTAAACATTGAACTGTAAATGAAACGTTCTACGGATTCTGCTAATTTTAACTCAAGATTGAGATTACGTCTGCTGGGGTTGGAGGAACTATACAGATTATGGGTTGCCCCTCTGCCTCATTCTGTTCTCCCAAACTGGTAGTAGAGAATTATGTCTAATTTTGCCCCAAACAACCACCAACACGATTGAAAATAACTGGTTATTATAATAAAGAGCAGGTTTATAGATATGTAGAAATAGTATTTTTTAATTCAAAGACAATTGATAAAAACACAATTATTTATATGAATGAGGTATAGAATAATGAATGTCACCAGATTTCCATCCAGTGTTGTGTCTCACCAAGAGCTTGCATTGATTATGGTAGAGTCTGACTGCTGCACAAAGCCTTCTCCAGCACTTCCCAAATATTCTCAATGGAGTTAAGGACTGGACTCTGTGGTGGCCAATCCATGTGTGAAAATGATGTCTCATGCTCCCTGCACCACTCTTTCACTGTCTGAGCCCCATGAATCCTGGCATCTCATTGTGTCATCAGGGAAGATGGAATAACCTGGTCATTCTGTTTATTCAGGGAGTCAGCTGACCTCATTCTTGGAGCACATCCTGTTTCTGAACCTAGACCTGACCAACTGCAGCAACCCCAGATCATAGCACTGCCCCCGCAGGCGTGTACAGTAAGCACTAGGCATGACGGGTGCATCACTTCACCCACCTCTCTACTTACCCTGATGCACCATCACTCTGGAACAGGGTCCACCTGGACTCATCAGACCAGTTCTTAATAATGCATCGGACAGTTCTTAACCAAATTTTAGTCGTTTCTACAATCTCCTTAAATGTTTTCTCTGCTTGATGCCAATGATCTGACCCTTCTCAAACATACTATCACCTTTTCCATTAGCAACAGGTGTGCCTTTCCACATATTTTTTTAGGAACATTAGAAGCAATTCCTTGCACCAATTGGGGCTAAATAACTTATTGCCGCTGAAAGCTAATCACCCATGCAGTAATTATGCAATAGGAGGCTTGTACCTATTAGATTAGTTAAACCCAGGTGATTACTTACTTTGGGGTAGAGTGTATAAATCATGTAATGCTGCAAAAGAAAGACAGATGCTCAACACAATGGGGTTATTGTTTTTATTACTCCAAATGTACATCAATAGACTCAAACTAAAGCAGGATACTGAATAATTCGTAGTGTTGGAAAGGTTTTTTTTAACTACGAGAGGTGATGACCGATGCTAGAAAAATGTATGGCAAATCCTGACACCAAAATATCACTTTTACACTCAGAATCACATCCAAACATCAGGTAATAAACAACAAATCTCCACTTCAATACACAAAATATATCCTTATAAATTATATAAATGCATGAGTATTTAAAATACTCCATCTGGGCTTCAACTCTGTCTTATACTATTTGGCAAAATTGGTGCTGATATCAGGACTGAGCAAATATACGTGAACTAATGCACCATTTTAGAGGAAAACCGAAAGTAACAGCCGGAAAGGGCCGAGTAATCCGGGGAGTAAAAACCAGAAGGTAAAAGATCACAGCAGCGACAAAATAATAATAAAAAATGCATGCAAAATATAGAATAGGCTGGTGAATATTAAAGCACAATGTGTAATAAAAGCCTCGGACATGTGACCTCCATGGTATTCAACAGTGACGTGTAAACATGGGAACCAACTGCTTTGGCTTTTGTGTCACTTTAGTTTAATGTGAAGAAAAATCGAAAAGCCGCAGATTTTTATCATTATTCAGAAAAAAACCCACAAAAAATGTATTAACGACTCATTTTATTAATCATGTCCTTCATTTGTTTCAAACAGTAAACTTATATTTTTTCATTTAAAATCCTAACAATCATGAGAGCAAAGTGCAGGCCATGTCAATTAAAATAAAGAATGTAACAATTGTACCCGTGAGTCCTGTATTTGTGTGATCCCCTCCTGAAGAGTCTCTCTATGTACATTAAGACATGTAAGCGGATTTATTCTGTACCTGGTTCCCGACCTGCCAGAATCTTAAGAGCTTCATTGTGTGGTCAGGAATACCATGCAAGTCCACATAAGGCCATGTTAAACAAAAGGAGATGCAATGAGGACAGTAAAAGGTTGATACAAGAAGAAAAACAGGAAGAGGTAAAGGGTTCTTAGTTCTTGCTGAAGCTGCAAATCCCCTCTTCAGGCAGTCATGATAGATTAAAAGAAGCTAAAGAGACAAAGAGAAAGAAAGCCAGCGGTTAGAAGAGTGGGTGAACAATGTCAGATGAGACTCTGGGGAAAGGAAAAGCAAAAGTTTTGATCATCGTTTCTGAATATACTGCTGTAAATTCTCAAGATTAAAGATAAAATACACATACCTAAAATTAGCAAATAAGTCCAGATTAATAAAATGTTGTGCTCATGAATTCTAAAACTATCCAGCTAAGATAATACATAAGTGTGCCTGTCATCTCTGCTATGGTGGAAGCAAAATGGTTGTTAGTCACAGCAACGTCCAGCAGAAGCAGACGATAATTAAATCCAGTTGGTGTTAAAGCAGCAGCGAAGCACACACAGCATTTCATATTATAGCAGAACAGGTAACAATGGAAAAACCCTGAAGGATGGGGGTCCACATGAGCCTCGGGTGGCGTTTGAGGTACTCAGACCCCCCCCAGAAGCTGGTCCCTTAGCAAAACTCGAGGGCTGAGTGGACCTACTCTGTGCAGAGCCACGGATTACTGCAAAGGAAACCACACAGACGGGTGAGCTGGAGGCTGGGAGCGGGAAAGCTCTCTGCTGCTTTATTCTCCAAGCAGGAACTCAAGGAAGTTGTATTTATATTTAAAACTTGACTAAGCATCACAGACCTTCATTTAAAATAATGACTGACTAAGCGTTTATTATCCACAGAGTATAAAACACAAATCATTTAACATTTTGTCATGCACAAAGATTATTCCCACATTGCATCATTTTTAGGAAAAATTGCCCTTTATTTTCTTCTAAAACTGATACAAATAACAGCTGTTCCTGTCAGGACAACAGACACATCAGGATCTGACTTCAATTGTGCCCTCATGAAAAGTACAAAAAAGAAAGTCACAATTGCACTGACATATATGTAGAAAAAATATCACATTTGGGTATAAAACAAAGTGCAAATATAAAAGCTAATACAAGCAATATTATGACACGACAGTGAATGAGGTATGGGAGAAGTGGTAAAAAGATCAGGCTTATATCTACTCATGCATTGGGCTAAAGGTAAACATCAGGAATTAGTTATGTCTGAATTAATAATTAGATGACACTTTAAGTTTTAAGACTAAATTCCAATTTTTTTCCTTTATTTTATATTGAAAATGTAAAAAATGTTTTGCCTGAACTCCTACTGTTGCAGTCTTTAAAGGAGCCAGATCATGCTATTTTAAACCTTTGAGAGCAAATGTAGGAACAATAGATGATTTAAAAAATGATCATCGACACTATTGAGATATGTGTTATTTTTGTCAGCCTGGGCTGATATCCATGCTCGCTCTGACAAAATGCACCTACAACAGCCTGCTGTTGAATTGACCTTGGTAGTCCAGTGGTTAAAGTATCTGCCTTTCCTCTTGTCTTAACATGTGCTGATGCCGGTTCGACTCAGTCTCAACAGTAATTTATGTAGCCAGCTGAAGTAGACTTCATGTTTCAGATTTTAGTTTAATAGAATATTTTCAGCTAAATATTTTGTCTTTAAATATCTTTGAATTTAGTCATTTCCAAGAAGCATTTTAGTTGATTTACTCTGCTCACCTCACATGGACTCTCACTGGCTAAATGAACAAAGTCCTTCTATTTTAAACAGTTTACCAACGAAGGGCTAAAAACTGAAGAGTGGCAAGTTAAAAAAGTTACTGCAGAGACTGGGAGTCGAACCGGTGCAAAAACAGCATGCCAATTACTCTAACCACTAGACCACCAAATCCCATTGATTTGTTCATTTCTAAACACATCATAGTAAAGATTTGTTTGTTTGTAACACTGTAACCTTCCTCAGAGCACCACCGATGTTGGTGGCGTCACTTCGCTCTCCATTTATCTGCGGGCAGTAGAGGACTATGTCGCCTTCCACTGCCGCCACCCTCCTCACCGATGACGATATCCCATGAAACGGAAAAGGACCACCAACATCGGCGGTGCTCTGAGGAAGGCTACAGTGTTAGCCGAAACTTGCAGGTGTCACTGATTAGCCTTCTTAACATGAAAGTGAGAGAACCTACAAACATTTTGAGCCCAGAGCACCAGTGAGAGCACCAGATAAAATTTCTTACACCCCTGCAGCACTTGCAGCATTTTTTCTATTTTCAAATCTTTAGACCTTTTTACAAGACACACCATGCCGGCAAATCGGCGTAATAATACTGCAAAGGTGTGCTGTGGAAATGCGCCGTGCCGGCAAGGCGTTACGCAAGTTTTGCGGCACTCATTCCATCTCGCTTGGTAGTAATATTGTGGTAATGGCCTGCCTTATAAAAGGCGATTGCGCCTTGGAGCAACAGAGGGAGGTGTCATGACGACGTAGGGAGTTGATGCCGAGCTTCGGCCAGCAACTATACTGAAAGAGTCAACACGGGCGAAAGTTTTGCTTTTGTTATCAGAATCAGCTGAGACGGCAAACTACAGCACTGCAGCACTCATGGAGCTTCTGTCCGTTAGAGCTGGAGCTCAGATCCCTGGAGACTGCACAGGGACTGTGGGGGACAGACACCTTTTGGAGCGGCTTGTCAAAAAAATGTAAAGATTACGGCTTCAATCGCAAAAAAGCAAGTTACGTCCAAGATAAACAGAAGTCTACGGCAGCGAATTGATGGCATTGTTTTGTAAAAACAGCTTTTACTACGCTGTGTTTAAAAAAGAACCAAGCAAAGAAATTTGATGGATTACAAATGTACAAAAGACTCAGCTACTAAGTCTGTCACAAAACGATAGTCGATAAAGACACATGTCCTATGCTTGGCCATCACGTGCGTCTTTGTGGACGGGATGCACACTTTTTACAGCACTGTTTTATCCCCAACGCAGAAGCACTTTGTCACAATATCCACTCTGGTACCGGTAGAGACTTAAAGAGGTCATCTGTGAAAGGACGGTCCGAATAAAACATTCTCAACTTCAGCGATGAAATCAATCTCTGCTGGCAACTCGGAGAAAGTAGGCGTTAGCGACCTACTTCCAGGGGAGGCGAGTTTCAGATCCGAGACTGACTTCAGGAAAGAGAAAGGCCTGATGACGCACTTAAGTTTCCATCCTCGTGTCTGCAGGTCCTACCGCAGAATCTGAAAACTTGTAGCTGAGACAGTAAAATGCACGAATGCAGCCAAAAACGGGTTGGGGGGTATTTTTTTTTAATTACATGGTAAAAAGCCCTAAAAGGTAAGATTTTTCACGATCTGGCCCCTTTTGGACCAAGATTATATTTTTTTCTTTATTTTGTATTAAAATGTAAAAACATTGCAAGAGTTGTTTTTGCTTGAGCTCTTCTACTGTTGCTGAGTCTTTAAAATGAATGAAATAAAAATATTAAACACTCAACCAAAAGCTCTTTTTTAATATTTTAGTCCCAGCCTTAGATGTTTCTCTTTAGCCCCAACACATTTCTGCCCATCACATCAGTAGTCATGTAAGTTAATTTACAAAACAAAAGCTCACATCATGCAAAAGAAAACAAGAGTACAAAACAAAAAATGGAATGCAGTTTGTAGATTTGTATAAAACAGACTCACGCGGAATGATGGCTCGTACGACACCCACTCAACAAGCATCATTCAGGATAACGTCATACAAAACAGTGATGTCAAATTCATAGCAATGACCAGCATCTTCCACAAAGCAGGAGGGGAATGTGGAGGGTGGAATTATGGGATATGTGAGAGCAGGTGAAGGTGAGGGAGGGGGTGCTGTGTAAGATGATGGGGGTGGAAGCTCATTCACAGCAGGAATGCCACAAGGGAGTTTCTACAGGAATCCTCAGCTGGAAACGAGAGAGAAGGGCTGTTAATGCTTCCAGATATCACAACACACGGTCACACATCAGCTTCTGGAGGAAAACATGCTTTTATAGTCATTTTAAATGTGTAATTGTAGTAAAGGAGAGTTAAGAGTGAGTTTAAACTGTCTGATTGTCTTTAATCTCATTTTCAGCCTTTAAAAAAAAAACTCGGAGATGGTTACCAACTATGTCATTGATATTTATCCTTATGAGTTTGTCTTTTGTAGACAGAAGGCAGGTCAACTAAATATGTCATCTCTCGGGTGTGACCTTCTGGTCTCAGATCAGACTGAATGGGCCTTTGTGTGAGAGCCAGGCTGGGTGGGAGCCACAGAAAGACACTGTTGTGGTTGGTTTAAGGGAGACGGAGCAGTTTGTCAGTGGGTGTGTGCAGATCTAACACACTGGTTGATTTAGAAGCTGCTAGTGACTAAGTGCTGCAGCCTAACAGATATTATAAGATGAGATGATGTAGGTCTGCAGCACCCAAATAAACAGTTCAAATAAGCCAGTGTGGTTAAGTCAAGTTTAAAGGTCTTCACTCATACTTTAATACATTTGCAATGGTCTCTAGTAGGAATGAAGTCTTTTAGTTGTTCTCTGGGGGGAAAAAAAGCTTCAGTGTTTTATCTCCACAAGTAACACAAGTTTGGAGGAGCTCTACTGTGTTGTGGAGTTACTAATGCTAACGATTAGCTTCTACTAGCAGAGACACTCTCTGCCATTTCCTGGCCACTAAACCAACAACAGCCTTCCCCGCCGTGAGTCAGGATGGGTGATCCTTGTGACAGTGTGACGTAGATCTGTCAGGATTTTCTAATCCTAGAGTTTCACCGTCTATTTTCTATCAGAAGCTAATGCAGGAGATAGGTGTTGGAGACTATTTTCATGTTCAGCCTACATAAAAAAACTCAGTGACTGATCATTTTCAAAAATAGTTTCTCAGAGAAACTGCTCTTTAAAGGGTCAGGAGCATGACGTTCATTCACAACTGTAAACTGTTCTTTGAGCTTCTATTCAACACATCTGTTTACTCGTAGTTTTGTAAGAAGGGGATTCTTACCAGACCAAGGTGCCTCATGCAGCATGCAGCAAGTGTGGGAGGAGTTAACTGGAAAACATTACGGATGCAACATAGGTGACACATGCGCTCGGCAATCATTCAGTCTACATAAAAAGCAGCAACATCTCCTGGGGACTGAAGAAATACATTCAAATGAGGGTTAAGAACAACTGTTAGCTCATTAGGTGAAGAACCTCACACGTCCACTGAAATCAGACCTCAACCTGCCCAGCTGCACCTCCGAGGTGAAGGCAAATGCTCAAGACAAGACAAGGCAGTAAAGGAAAATGACACACAAATGAAAATCAATGAGGTCGAGCTCAATTTCTCAGTGCAAATGTCTCTTTTCTTTTATAAAAAGGCACATCAGCTTCCACCAGACGTTTGTGACCAGCATGAAGGGATGAGTACAGACAAAGTTAAACACGGCTGTTATCACATGAGAAGGTTGACTATAAGGAAGCTTCATTTAACTCAAGATTTTAATGAACTATTGCTAAATACAATAAAGGTTTGAATCAAACTCTTTATTTTTCTAATAATAAAGATGAAATAAAGTTATTCTGTTTTACATTTACATTAAAGCTGCTCAGAGTTCCCGCTGTAGTGTTAACAGCCATGTTTGTAGTTTTTGAATTCAGTCTGTCGGTGTTATGTTTTAGACTCATCACTAGTTCTGAACTCGATCTGGATCTCTGTTAGTACACAGAGACAAAATAAGATGCTTCCATTAAACCACTCAGGAGTAAAAATGTATTTAAATGTATTTACAGAAACATAAAAAAGCTTATATTTGTATTGTTAACAGCAGGAAATACAAAGATAAACTAGAATAATTTAGTTATGGATTTGAGATTAATTAAGTGTAGCCAGAGAGCATCAAATCCCCCGTGAGAAAAAAGCCACACATGGAAACTGGACCTGTGGGTGGAAAGAACAACTTACTTTTTTCTCTCTTTGTCCCTCTTCAGCGTGGTAGAGCCCCCTGCTTGCTGGGCTTGGTTCAGCAAGAGCTCTGCAGCCGTTTTCTTCTGCTTGAACATGTTCACTTCATCGTCAAGGGACTTCTTCTTCTCCTCCAGTTTCTTCTTCTCGTCCTGATGAAGTTTCTTCAGACGGTCAAACTTCTCGTGCAGCTGCGCCACAGCAACAAGAAGGGGATATTTTGAGTAAATAGAGAACAGACACACTTGCAAAAATACTAGAATCACGCTTATTTTTTTACCTCCTTCTCTGCTTCTTTGAGCTCAGCCTCCTTCTCTTTGACTCGTTGGACAAACATTTGTCTCATTTCCTCTTCCTTCTTCTGTAGTTCACCCATGAACTCGTTCCGCTTTGCCTCGTATGTCTCCTGCAGGCTGCATTGTGATAAACACAAGTTGTAAAAAAATAAATAAAAATACGCTGGGAGAAGAATAAAAATAAAATAAAATAAAAGTCCAGCAGCACAGAAAAAGCGCCACCTAGAGTCTACTACCTGAAAGGTTTGCTGTCAGGATCCGTATCTTTAAAGCCCATCTCTTCGAGCTTGCAGCGACGGTACAGCTCGTAGTGGCGTGTGTGGGTCTGTTCTCGCAGGTCCTCCATATTCACTCTAATGAGCATTTCTCGCAGTTTGACAAAGTCACAGTGATTTTCATTTTCCACTGTGAGAAACACAGAAAAAAATCAGTTTAAAGTAAAAGACTCCAATCAAAGACCCAACCTTAACCCAAGGTTCATCATAAGCACCCAAACAATATTACCTCATATTTTTTAAATTAAACACATTTTTGCATTTACTATAGGCTTCATGTTAAAAAAAAAAAAGAAATAGACAGATATGGGTGTTCTATTGCCGATACCAACGCCGATATGTAGCAGTAATGGCCAGCTGATGGCTAATATATGCTGCCAATTTTCATGGCCAATAGGGAGACGTTTTCTACCTTATTAGCCTGCAAAAATGTCACTAACCGTGGATCCACAACATTTTTTGCGCAAATCAGTTTTTTTACTCTAAATTTAGCTTAATTTTATGCAAAATCAAACATTTAATCAAAGTTAACAAAAAAATCAATAAACTAACCAAGTATAAAATACACAACTGGTAAATAAAAAGAAATGTCGGTTGACAATAATTTATTAGAGTATTTTTTAATAAGCAGATGCTTTTCAGGAACAAATATATTTATGTAGAATTCAGCAGCAACACGGCTGCCCACAGATGTGCCCGTTTCTAAATCAGCTCTAATAAAGAGATACATTAGCCGAGGCCAATACAATACAATCTGCCTACAACCTCTGATTTTATTGAACTGTTTCTCTCTTTGTTTTTTCTTGTTTGGGTTTTATTATTGTTTTATTGTATTTTATCACGTGTTTTCTGTCAAGTGACCTTGGGTGTCCTGAAAGGCACTTTTAAATAAAATGTATTATTATTATTATTATTATTATTACAAGGTTTCCCCCAGAAAACTTGCTAAGCCTGGTGGACTGTGAGAGCGGGGTGGTGATTGGGGGTGTCATGGACCATTCCCATCTGTACCGGGTCGGCCCGGGCCGGGTAGCCCCAGTCGGCCCCAGCCTGGCCCGGTTGATTCCACACATCCTTGTCTTAAGCCCATGTGGGCTGATTCTACCCACCAATCAGAGGCTTGCTCTAATGGAAGGTGTGAATTTGCTGTCAGCAGTGGGTGTGTTGGCCCTGGTCGGCCTGAAGCAGACCCCCTCGAGAATTGGGCTGAGAATGAGCCTTGGTTGTCCTGGGAAAATACCAGGCCACCCAGATATGTAAACAACCTACGCTACCCGGCCCGGGCCGACCCGGTACAGATAGGAATGGGGCTCGCTTCGCCACTGTGCCTCTTCCATGAGAACAGAAGGGGGGCGCGGATTGTTTCACTACCCTGCGTTGTTCGTGACTGCAGGGGAGGGTGGACGCTTGGCCTGGTGTTTCGCCAGGCATAGAAAGCACTGGGGGAAGCCCTGCAGTATGTAAAAAAAGGGAAATAGTGGCCCGATACATTGTTCTATTCCTACCAGAAAAAATAAATCTCGTCTTTCCTCACAGATGGGGCCTAAAGTGCCAAAAAGTTTAAAAGCAGATGAACTAAGTTTAACTAATCACCTCTGACAAATAAAAAGATTCATACTGCAGCTGATGTGAAATAGACAGAAAAGCCACAGCAGATCAATAGAAACTCCATTAGTGACATCACAGGTTGCCAAAGCATAGAGCTGCTGCTGCCGCTCAGTAATCCAAAATAACGGTGAGGAAGAAGCTGGAGCTGAATACGGTCACAGGAAAGGTTATCAGCTTGATCCCCCAAGAGCTCAAGAGAAGCATGAAGGAAACTTCAGCTGCTGTCAAGAAAGGGACTAGTCTCATTTCCTGTGCAGGATGTAATGTAGGCTCACCCTGCACCGTCCCCCAGGGGTACTGCCGGGCCTTCACCATCTTATTCCCGATCTTCACTTCCTCTGTGCTCCCCACCACAGCAAAGGGCAAATGGCTCTGTGGAAGGAGAGAGCTTTAAGTGTGAATCTGAAGCTTCTCCTTAACTTCTACAGCTGAGTATGAAGATAAAAGACACCAAACAGATTGAACAAAAAGAATAACAACAAATCAATTCGACTAATTTGCTGTAACTGAACCAAACAAGGCCACAGCTACTGATTTAGGACCGTTAGTGAAGGCGTTTCCCCAAGTCCAGGTTAATAAACAACTAAATGTGGAAACAAAGCCTGTTCCCACACTGCTGACTTCCTGCAGCGAGATTGAGACTGCCACTCGACCACATCAGTAAACATGACAAGGAATATTTTGATTCACACAACATGACGCCGTTTAAAGTACTAGGTAGCATGTTGTTTATCATGCAGACAGGTTCGGTCTGAGCCTTACGTTCATGGTGGAGTTGATTTCCGCCACGGATTCATCATCAGTGGGGAACTGGTAGATCTGGACTCCATTGCTGACCAGCTCACTGGTGATTTTGATTTTGAACTTGGCCAGTTCACTCTTGGAGATGGCGTCTGACTTGGCGACAATCGGGACAATGTTGACCTGGTGGCAAGGAAAGCATTTTTTAGACATCCAGCTAAATTTAGACCGCCATTTAGCTCACTTGCTTTCAAAAGCACTGCCTCCGCATCTGTGGTCCAGGATTTAGAGAGGAGGGGATTTATCATCACAAATTAAAACAAACACGCCACAAAAAGCATTTTGATTGGGTAATTTTTCAGGTCTAAATGGTTAGATTTCAGATTTATTGGCCAAGTAAAATTACATTTACAAGGAATTTGGCTTCGGTAGATGTTCGCTCTCTAAAACATACAACAACCACAATAAATGAGAATAAACATACCTAACAACACATAAGAACATGTATACCCACACTCATGTTCATTTACAAACACACATATATACATATATACATGCACGCACACACACACACACACGCATGCACGCACGCACGCACACATGCACACACACACATATCCATAAGCATACTGAATAAGTATTAAAAACTATAATAAAAAGATGGTAAAATAATCTACAGATTCAGGAGAGAAATGGCTGAAGGAAAGAAACTGTTCTTGTGTCTGGTAGTTTTTGTGTACAGTGATCTATAGCGTCTGCCAGATGGGAGGAGATGGAAGAGAGTAGATGCAGGATGTGTGGCATCTTGGACAATGTTCTCTGCCTTTTTCCTGGTCCTGCTGATGTACAGTTCCTGGACAGAGGGCAGTTGGGCACCAATGATTTTTCCTGCTGTTTTAATAATACGCTGTAGTCTGCATTTGTCCATTTTTGTGGCTGACCCAAACCAGACAGTGATGGATGAGCAAAGGATGGATTCGACTGCAGCGGTGTAGAAGATGATCAGCAGCTCTTGTGGTAGGCCGTACTTCCTTAGTTGCCATAAGAAATACATCCTCTGCTGAGCCTTTTTGACGATGGAGTTGCTGTTTGTTTCCCACTTCAGATCCCTGGAAATGATAGTTCCCAAGAACTTGAATGAGTCCACCATTGACACTGGGCTGTTGGATATTGTGAGGGGGGGCAGCACTGTGGGAAGCTTCCTAAAATCCACGACCATCTCCACAGTCTTAAGGGTGTTAAGCTCAAGATTGTGCTGACTACACCAGACCACCAGCCTCTCAACTTCTTGCTGATAAGCAGACTCATCACCATCCTGGATGAGCCCAATGACAGTGGTGTCATCTGCAAATTTCAGGATTTTTACAGCTGTCATTAGAGGTGCAGTCATTGGTGTACAATGAAAAGAGCAGTGGAGAAAGGACACACCCCTGTGGTGTACCGGTGCTGATCAACCTTGTGCCAGATGTAACATTGTTCAACTGCACATGCTGGCTCCTATTTGTCAGGAAGCTGGAAATCCACTGACACATGGCAGGGGAAACAGTGAGCTGAGAAAGCTTTGAGGTGAGGATTCCTGGTATAACGGTGTTAAAAGCAGAGCTAAAATCCACAAACAATATCCTTGCGTAGGTTCTCGGTTGATCAAGATGTTCCAGGATGAAGTGCAGCCCCATGTTAATTGCATCATCCACTGACCTGTTTGCCCTATATGCAAACTGCAGGGGATCCAGCTGGTGGCCTGTGGTGCTTTTAAGATGGGACAGCACCAAGCGCTCAAAGGACTTCATGACTACTGATGTCAAAGCCACAGGTCTGTAGTCATTCAATTCGGTAGGGGAGGATTTCTTGGGTACTGGGATGATAGTGGAGCTTTTGAAGCATGATGGAACCTCACACAGCTCCAGCGATCTGTTGAATATCATTGGGAAGACAGGTGCTAGTTGGACAGCACAGGTCCTGAGGCAGGAAGGAGTTACTCCATCTGGGCCTGGTGCCTTCCGTACGTTCTGTCTCCTAAAGATGTTGCAGACATCCTCTTCCTTCACAAGGAACGTAGCTTGTGATTTAGAGGAAAGAGGAGTAAGAGTTTCCAGGTGAGGGGTGGCGGCTGCAGCTATGCTGGAGTGGAGGAGGGGTGTGACATTCCTTTCCTCAAAGCGACAGTAAAAGCCATTTAGCTCCTCAGCAAGGCCATGATTAGCATCAGAAATGAAGGATGGTCTCCTGTATTTGGTAATTTGCTGAATGTTTCTCCACAATAATGTGGGGTTGTCGGCTGAAAACTGTTTTTTCAGCTTTGATGCATACTTAATTTTAGCAGCTCTGATCTTCTTAGTCAAAGTGTTCCTGAGTGATTTGTACAGGGGCCTGTCTCCTGCCCTATAAGCCTGCTCCTTTGCCCATCTCAACTGGCTCAGTGTTGCTGTAAACCATGGCTTGTTGTTATTAAAGGTACGAAAAGTCTTTGTTGGCACACACACTTCCTCACAGAAGGTGATGTAGGATGTCACAGTGTCCGTTAGCTCGTTCAGATCGCCGGTGGCATCTGCAAATACTCTCCAGTCTGTACAATAAAAACAGTCCTGTAACTCCTCTTCTGCTTCATTTGTCCATTTCCTCACTGTCCTGATGGCTGGCTTTACAGATTTTAGTTTTTGTTTATAAGTGGGGATAAGATGAATCAAATTATGGTCAGAGAGGCCGAGAGCTGCACGAGGGACAGAGTGGTATGCCCCTTTAAGAACTGTGTAGCAATGATCCAGTATGTTTTTGCCTCTAGTCGGACATCTGATGTGCTGTCTGTATTTCGGTAGTTCGATATTAAGTTTAGCCTTATTGAAATCGCCCAAAATAATGAGCACTGAGTCTGGGTACTTGTTCTCTGTGGATGTAACTTGATCGGCGAGAGTCTGCAACGCAACACTCACATCTGCTTGAGGATGTATGTATACTCCAATCAAAATGAATGATGATATTTCCCGCGAGGAGTAAAACGGCTTACAGTTCAAAATTATTGTCTCCAAGTTTGAGCTACAATGTTTACTGAGAACTGTAGCGTCTGTACACCAACATTCATTAATGTAGAAGCAGATTCCACCTCCTTTCGTCTTCCCTAATAGCTCTTTTTTCCGGTCTGTGCGATGTAAACAAAACCCGGGCAGGTATAATCCATTATCAGGAGTCAAGTCACTGAGCCACGTTTCCGTAAAGCAGAGGGCAGTGGAGTGTGCAAAATCTCGATTAGTCCTGTTCAGAAGGAGCAGCTCGTCTATTTTATTAGGTAGGGATCGGACGTTCGCTAGGTGCATTGCTGGGAGAGGCATACGAAATCCCCGCTGGCGGAGTCTCACCAGCGCTCCTGCTCGTTTACCCCTCCTGCGCTTTCTTCTCCAACAAACAGCAGTACCTCCGATCACAACTTCCAATAAACTCCCCGAGACCTCAAATTTTTGAAAATTCGTCTCTGTGGTTTGTTGCCTGATACACAGTAGTTCATCTCTACTGAAAGTAATCCGTTTTGCATTGCAGATTTCCAAAAATATATACAAAAACAACACAAACAAAAGAGATCAATGTACCGAGGCTGCCATCTGCGGCGCCATCATGCATAGGTGATGCATTAAAGTGATGTTTTAATTTAGCGCAGAAAGAAAAAGTCCAAATGCAGAAATTAAAACCTGTAAAAACACGTCAAAACTCACAAAAACAGCAGGAAGTGAGTCAGAATCCATCAACACTCATGTTTTTATCCAGTTTTTAGTTAGGGAGTCACTACTTAGAACGCTCAACATCTGGGGCAAGACGTTGTGTTTTTCCTCTAAAAAGGCCTTGATAGTAGACGGTCAGTCATGTGAGCAGAAACATGTCAGCACCTACGTCTGGTGATGGATCAGCACGGTGCTCAAAGGCCCTCCAGCAGAGCACTACAGAGAGAGCACTGCTCAGAATCACACTGCGGTGTGAGCTGGCTGGAGGGCACAGCTGCTCTGGCAACCGCACGTGCGCGCACATGCACATGCGTGCGCACACACGCACACTTTCTGTTAAAAGAGGTTCATGTAAATAAGCGGAGATGAGGAAGCAACAGAGCAGGCAGCAGCAGACTGCACTTCACGGCTGACCTAGCAAGAGCGGAGCCAACTTGCATCAAAGCTAACGGCCCAGAAAAGGTTTACAACTCATGACTTGAGCGGGGAGATCAAAAGCATCCGACATTCACACAGAGCTAGAGGAAAGAACGAGACGCTAAGCTGCGTTAGGAAAATTTGATTACAGAAGAAAAACCTTTTGTGTGCAGTCCATCATGACAGACTGCGTTGGTGGAGCAAAGCTCACCTTGCTATCAAGCTTCTTCATGGTCACCAGGTCCAGGGATTTCAGAGAGTGTCCCGTCGGAGCGATGAAGTACAGGCAGGCGTGGATGCGGGTGTCGTGGTAGCTGTGTAGCGTGCGCTTGATTTTCAACTCCTCCTGTAGGTACGCTTCAAACTGGGTATCAATGAACTCCACGATTGATTTGTAACTGGAAAACAGGAGAAACCGAACCATTTAAAGACAATCTTCCAGTCTTTTGTTCCTATAGAGCTAAAATAAAGTACTACTTGAATAATCTGCAAAGTTTTACAATCACCAGCACTAAACTATACAAAATACATTTATCTTTTAAAACACATCTGGATATAAAGTGTAACTTCAGCTCCAAATAGCCGATGATTGTTGTCATGTCCTGCTTGTTTCTAATGGAGTAACCATTACATGCCAGGTGATCTTTAATCTATCATTTAGATTTATTGACCTCCAAAAAGTTCAGAGAAGATCTAAAAAAAAAGTCACACGATCTCCTCAAGGGGATGGTGTTCAGCTTGTCTTCTGTCGTGAGTAAAACATGGCCTGATCCCCTGATCTAGAACTCCTAATAGACTACACAGGATGGGAAAGCCAAGAGCACAGAATGAATCATCTGCATTGTGCTCATCAATCATCCATCATGGATTGTGTTAGAAATATAGACCCGTGTATTATAACACTGTTCCTAGTTTAAAGCTTGTATTCTCCTTTAGGCAGAAATACTCAAAAAACATCATAGTTGTGGATCTTTTCATTATAATCTGACCCTAGAGTGCAAACTTAAACAGATATGTGGTACAAAGGTGGACAGGAGAGACCAATGACCCAAGGCACCCAGGACTGCAGGAAGATCCACCCTTTCCAGAGCACAAACACACAGCCTGGGTCAGAGAGCAGAAGGTCATATGTCTGAGTGGATTCTAGTCTAAAACGCTGTAAATACGTGGTTTTTCTTCAAGGGTTTACAATCTGATCAGCAGTGAGAGAACAGCAGCACTCCTGTCGGCGAAGCTTCTCTGTCATCCAGGTGTGCTAATCCAAATAATTCAGTCATGTCAGCCAGGTTTGCTCTGGATCGCAGAATCAGACGTAAACAGCGTTTACCTGTCCTCCTTATTGATCTGGTCTCCGAAGCCCACGGTGTTGACAACGGTCAGTTTGAGGCGCACGTTACTCTCCTGGAGTTCGTAGGTGTTGGACTTCAGCGTGACGCCGGGCTGGTTGTGCTGAGTGGGTTCTCCCTCAAACTTGGTGTTGAACAGGGTGTCCATCAGAGTGGACTTCCCCAGGCCCGTCTCACCTGCACACCAGAGGTAAATGGAGCTTTACCGATGACGGAGTCTGGACTTTTCTCGATGCATTATTAATAATCACACTGACCTTTTCACCTTCAACCTTATAAATGTGTAATTTCATACCAAAGGCCAGGCCTTTTTATAAAAGGAAACCCAAGTAGAACAGAATAAAGAACATCTAATGGAATGAGAATAGATTAAAAGGCAAAGATGCTGTAAATGTATAATTTAAATGCTTTAAATGAAAAAAATAAAAACCTGAAAAAGTATCTTCAGGTTGATGCATCATGACATTTATTCTGTTAAACGCTCTTCCATGACTCAGATATAGAGCTCCCTGTCAGAAAATCTATTTTTAAACACAGCATGACCTACAGACTGCCAGCTCATTTTATAAGCACTCCTTTTACTTTTCTATGAAAAATCCAACGGATCAGAAGTCTTGCTGCTCATCTCCGAGAAAAAAGAAATTCACTACAGTGACAATTAATGCTCGTTGAAATGATGCATCCTGTGTGAGATGAATAAAGTCAACCAGGCACTTGTAAATGGATTTTAAAAAGCACCGGTTAGAAAAACATCAATTTGAGAAATATTTGGAACATCTGGGTGAATTGCCAGTGAAGCGTTGTCTTTGTGCATTAGTTAATGTTAGTTTGCAGCAAACATTGTCCCTATTTAAGAGGCCTGTGCAGGAGTCTGCATGTTCTCTAGGAGGTGTCACCACATGCTCTGGTTTCCCCAGAACCACGAGGTATAGTAAAAGATCAACTCAGTAAAGCATACTGCACACTGGAAGCATCAGCGGTGCGAAACTGCAGCAGAACATCACTGCTTCAAATAGAATCCATTAGAGTCTATGGGGGCGATTCAAACCAGCCGTGACGCGGCAATTTTCAGGCGTGTCCCAGAAGTGACGCCACGCCACTAAAGATGGGATCGAGTTTTGTTTTTTTTCTAGCTGCTTCTGAGACACCACAATTTTCACGGTTAACATAGGGCTAGACAGGAAATCACACGTGGTTTCACAGTAAAAACCCCTGGTAATTTTCAAAATAAAGGTCTATGCAATTTCATATCCATGTAGATTACGTCGATACAAGTGACCTAACGGCTTTTTTACTCCCTGCATCGTTCCAGAAGTGCAGTGGTGTGTTTTTCATGGCTTCATTCCTGGCAGTGGAGAGGAACAACATCATTTATACCACCAAACAGCAATTTCAAACACGATTTCCTTCTTTTTGGTTTAATGGCAGACGGCAGAAACAGGGATTTTGTGATCTTTGTAAGCACGGCGAGGAAGCCGCTTCGCAGCTGAGACTCTCCCGGTGTGAACTGAAGTGCACCGATTGTCGCGAATAAACCTTTCTGCTGCCGTTCTGCACTGCTGATGCTTCCAGTGTGCAGTAGGGGTTAAAGTTCTGGGATGATGATCTGGTCAGATAAGCATCAGACCGGGTTGTTAATCTGTCTCAGCTGTGTTGGTAATGATGAAGTTCAAAACAGGTGCACTAAAGGGTAAACAGTGAGATTATTCCAAAAACAAGAAAGGTTTTGCAAGTGGTTTTTTTTTTCCTTCTCATCTTTATATCGACTTCTTTTCAGTAGTTTTGCATTGAACCTAAGTCAAGGTCCGACGTTGCTGGGTGTGCATAAAAGCACAATGGGGCAATACGACCTACTGAGCACCATTCTGAGGTGCTGCAGTGGACTGACCTGTCACACCAGATTTCTCAGTTTGAATTCCTTAGTGACTTAGATTAAGTTCTTCACAGGTTGATAAACTAATGATGAGGTAGAGGTCTGTTGTGAAGAACCTGGCGATACGATATCTTCCACAACACAGGGGAGACGATACGATATATTGCGACCCTAAAAGCTAAACGATGTCTGAAGTTTTTAAGGACTTCAACTGGCAAGCTCAGGCCAGACACTTCCTAGACACATCCAGTGTTACCTTGTTGTTCAGTCAGAACGAAGGCTGCCACCTAGCAGTCGGAGTTTGAATTGCACCTCACAAAAGAAATACAGTAAATGTTTTCATGTTAAGTGTTAACAAAAAATCAATACACTGCCTTTGATTGCCGATTCAGTGTCACGACACAAAATACTGTGATATTTCAGTGTATCAATATTTTCTTCCACCCCAATGATGAGGCACCCTTTTGTTCCTTACACATTGCCTTTTCAGTATGGATATCCGTCTGGATGTTTCCCCTCAAAATGATTGTTGTGTTTTCAAAGTGTTGCTTTAAATTGTTTGAGCAGTGTGTAACTACTACAAAGGTTGTTTACAGTACACATTATCTTTGATGGCTTGTGATAAATCACACTTCCTACAATTTATTATTTTACATAATCCATCTATTGTTGTAACGTGGAGAGGGAGGAAGAGGATGGGAAGTGGGGTGATCCACAAGCAGCTAACACATTGGGAGGTGATTTTATTTCCCTTTACCATGACTGTTTGTGTATGCAGGTGTACCACTGTGCATGGAATAAACGAGCAAACCGTAAAACAAAGACTATAAACTGAGAAAAGTGTATTTATTAATACTTTTGTGTGCTGATGTGCACAGAACTAGGTTATATCTTATTCTTCAGCAGAAAAAAGCAACATAGTCCTAAACAACTCAAAGCAGGACAAAAGTCTATTGTTTTCTGGACATTTGACAGGTCCCAGACAGGAAAACACATTAAAGGGAACTTTACAGATTTCACACGGTGACGGTGGCACAGGTTAGGTGCTCGCCCCGTAATTGGAAGGTTGCAGGTTTGAGTCCTGCTCAGTTTGTCACTGCCATTGTGTCATTGGGCAAGACCCTTAACCCCCCTTGCCTGATTGTGGTGGTCGGAGGGGCCGGTGGCGCCAGTGCTCAGCAGCCTCGCTTCTGTCGGAGTGCCCCAGGGCAGCTGTGGCTACATCGTAGCTCATCTCCACCTGGGTGTGAATGGGTGAATGACTGATTGTGTTGTAAAGCGCCTCGTGTGTGTGTGTGTGTGTGTGTGTGTGTGTGTGTGGTGGTGGGGGGGGGGGGGGGGGGGGGGGGGGTCCAGGAATCTAAAAGGCCCTATATCAAATACAGGCCATGCACCATTCAGTGTGCAGAAGATCCAAAAAACAAGACTGCCTGAGTTATGATGTGTGTGTGTTTCCTACTTCCTATAAAAACCAGGAGCATCTTCCTCATACTGGTAAACTGAACCTATAAATGAATTTCATTGATCTGTGTTTTACCACATGAAGGTGCTGCGTGGAAATAAAATCACCAAGTTTTGAACTCCATGCTGATGGTCTTTACACTTACCAACGCAGAGGATGTTAAAGCAGAAGCCACGGTTGACAGACTTGTTGACCAACTGGTCAGGCATGCTATCAAAACCAACATGGCCGGCCAGAGGCACAGCCCGAACTCCTTCACCCTGAAAAACAAAAGAAATCAACAACAACTATCAGTTAATTGGTCTCTTTACAATGATAGGTTTTGTCTGGGTGCAATTTCAGAACAAGTTTAAGACGCACTTAAAAAAAGCCCCATGATGGAGCCATGTTTTCCACCAGAGATTGTTAAGAGAATAAGCCTGAGTTCAGGTGAAGTCATTCACTTCCTGTTTTCTCAGCAGCAGCTCTCTTCCGTCAGACGGTTCAAAACCACTGTGTACATATATGGAAAGACACTGCTGTTCATGTCTAGATAAGAAAGATCCAAGCAAATGTAATAAAAACTCATTTAATGATGATTAAAAGCTTAAGAGCCAGCTCTGTGACTGGGATTAGATGAATCTTCCGCTATACTTTTAAACACACACATCAAAAATAAAAAAAAGCGTCAACGTGCTGCTGTTAAAAGCGTGTGGGGGTGTTTAGCTGGTAGTAAGCATCCCGATCGCTGTGATTCTCGTTTCTACTGCCTACATTTATATCAAGAGCTACAGGGAAGCAAAGAATTTACGTTGGATGCCAGAAGCAAAAGCTCTCCACCAGCTGAACCTCAGACAACCGGCTATTATGTGGCTTAGCATAACAGTGTTGTTGTCCAATTTGACAAAGACTTTGAGCGAAAAATACTCTGTAAATTTAAAATACCCAAACATTCTGGTGTCACTGAACAGTCGTGGAATATTCTGAAGCTGGGTTTGAACAGCTGAGGACCTGAAGAAATCTGGGACTAATGTAACTGAACAAACAGCCTGTTTAATGTTGAGAATGCAAGCACAACATTCCTGAAATCATCCTCGCTTTTCATGACGCTCACAGCCAAGAAGCACACAGCCGGTTTCATTCATTGAGCCACAATGGGGTATCAAACTGCACTATCTTGCTATTCTAAGAACTCCCTCTGGGTTAAGTGGCTTCCTTTCCCCACTTAAAAAACAAGCTTGGATAACAAGGAGTGTGTAAAATCCCCTTTCCTCTCCAAAACAAGTCTTGAACTCTTGTCTTTGTTTTGCAAGCAATCAAGACAACGCCTGTGTGAAAGTTAACGGGTTCCTAAATAAAACACGGTAACGGAAATGAGCACCGAGGTTGTGCTGAAACGGGGGCTTTCAGAATGAATGGCCTACCGATCGATCTGTGTGGATCCGTCATTTTTAACGATCCAGCACCTACTAAACTCAATTAAACATTTAAAATCACACAATGTGCCATTTCGCCATGCATTTGTTTCAAATAAACACCACATGAAATCTAAGGGCATTTGCAAATGCAATGCTAAAGCTGTTTCACCGGAAAGGTAAATGCACGAGGTGATGCGCCTTGATTTAACATCATCAGACGAAGAGCATTTTAGATGCATAATTTGTTATCTAAAAACACGATTTATTATAAACAGACTCTAAATTAGCAACGCAATGGTGAATTTCGAATGTGAACACGGGTGTTAGCAAGCTAACCGACTCCAAAATAACCCGTTACACAAATAAGTTGAAACGATTCCCAGCATATCGAAGATGTAATAAATGCATACAATGGATTTTAGAGTCAAACAGACTACTTACGGCTTGCCTTGCTATCTCAGTTGACGCCATGGTGAGTGTTAGTAGCCGGAGGACGAACCCACTGTCGCTCTGACTTCAGCAAAGGAAGCTGCGCCGCTACGCTGAAACCTGGCCTGCTTGAAATGTACCATTTTATCAAAGTATGTCGCATTTCTTATAAAGGTAGTAGCTGAACTTCCAATGACAATACATATGTATCTGTTAAAACCGATGACTTCTATTAACAGAAGCGGCTTCTAAATGATGGCAGAAGACATAAAATAACACATAAAGAAAGTCCCCCATCGAATGCTTTAATGGTTTCGTCTGATATGAATGGTAGTGAGCAGATGTGATGTAACTTGATAAAATAAAGAAGCACACAGACACACATAACATCCTGAAACAAATTAGTTTAGTTTATAGTAGTGGCCGACAATTTTGTAAAGCATGTGTAGCCATGAGCGTAAATAAATCAGGTGTTACGACTCACAATTAATCTTCAATGCTAACAACACTAGTAGGCGACGCCTATTTTAGTCACGTGCGTGATATTGGCCAATAGGAAGGATGCCGTGAATTTAAAATTGGCTCGCGGTCGTTCGTTCGTACACAGTTTCTTAACCTCAACCGAGTGAGCAGCACGGTCAGGTCGAGTCTACTGAGTTAGAGGTTGTGTTTCGTAGAGGTGAGTTATCAAAGAGAGCAGTTCAAGTTAAATTTATAGTTTATTTTCTTTGAATGGGTCAAGATAATATCCATAAACCCGCGAACGATTAAGACGTTATACAGCGCTAGCATAAAAGCTAACATTTGATTGTTTTGTTTTTTTAAATATCTGTTTAGCGGTCAAAAAACCGTTGTTAACGTTTGTATGTCAGTGTTCGGGAAAAGTTTAAAAAATAAACACTTGTCAAAAATTTCTGATAGGTTTGATTGGTACTCAGGTGATCTGTTTTCAGTAAATAAAGGTGACTAACTTGAAATAAAATGTATATTTTGGGATTGGATAAGTGTTCTATAAAATAATTGCTAAAGGCTTCAAACTAGATATTTAAAGTAGTTTAAAACAAATAAGCTTGTATTAAATTAATTTAGGATTTGGCTAAATCTGTTTTGCCTTTTTCCCCCACTGCTGAAAGTTTACAAAGCTCACTTTTAGCTTTGCTGTTTTGAAAAACGTTTTTGCATTTTGGTGCAGAATATAACGTTTGCATGTGTTTGTCAGATAAAAATGGCAAACATCCTTGCAGAGCAAGAAAATGCTGGTCTTCATGTGCCTTCGCTGAAGATGCGACAGCGACTTCAGTCTGCTCCAGGTATTCTGAACTGAATATTTTTCCTATGTTAGCAGGTGATGTTGGATGTGAGTTCACATTTTTTTTATTTTTCTACCAGAGAAACTTCTGAATTCAGAGGCAGCTAAATCTGTTAAAACACCTCTGCCATTTGGTCGTAAAGCTTTTGGAGCTGTGAACAAGGTTTTGACCCCAGCAGTCTCTGCACAGGAGAAGACTCTATTGAAGCCACAGGTTGGGTTCTGGACAGTCTTCAGTTCACGCATAAAAAAATATTTTGACAAAGTATTATTTGCATCTTTTTGTATGAAGTTCAAATCACAGCTAAGATGCCATACTAAACTAAAAGTTCAGGGGTCTAATTTATCAAGTATTGCGTAGAATCCTTAATAAAACTGTACTTAAGCTCAGCAAAAAAAATGTACTTGTTGCTTATTCTGTGTGAGCACAAAGTGGTACAAGTGATAATGCTGCTGGAATTCATAATTTTATCATTCTCAGCAGCAGCACTGCAGGTGCTCTCCATGTCCAGAATGTGCGTAAGCAAGGTCCTTGGTCAACTTAAAGTTGTGCACATTTTTCCGCTAAGTTCTTTCATAAATCCCAAAGTTTGCGTGGAAAGTTGCTTACGCAGTTTTCCGACCCCGTTTTGTGCGTAAGCAAGCTTGATAAATGAGGCCCCAGATCTTTGCCATCCATTTCTCTTTACCTTGTTGTACCAAGTCAATGTTTTGTTTTGTTTTTGTTTCAATAGGAAAACAAAGTCGAGCCTGCTCCTCAAACCAAAATTGAGGAATATCCAGAAATTGAGAAGTTTATCCCGTATGACCCCTTGGGTAAATTGAGTTTGACTTTTATTCAGTTGCCTAAAACAATACATTTCAGTGAAGTCAATACTTATTTCCCCCTCAATTGCAAACTATTATACACACGGTGTATAATAGTTTGCAAAAGATGGCTGACGTAGAAATATCAAGCTTCTAGGTACGAGTTCCCCGCATTGTTGCCACTAAATAAAAATTCCTGCTCAAAATAATTGCTCAGATTTTTAGTTTACAAACTCAATAGATTTCCACCAGCATCTGACTTAAGCTGGTCATTATTAAAGTTGAGCATCTATACACTGCAAAAGAGGCTCCAACACACGTGATCTAATTTCCTTCCTATAGAAACTTTAGACAAGTTTTATGTTCTATATTGCTTTGTCTTGTGCTCGGAGGACTGTTTTCTGCATGTTTTAAACAAGGTTCTAATGTTTCCCAGAGTTTGAGAGGTACAGCGTCCCTGAGGACTTGATCCCTCTTAGCTGCTTGGCGCTTCCTGGTTTGGCCTGTTTTCCCACAACTCTTTCTAAGCTGTGTGAGGAGGATTTGACAGAGATGGCTCCACTTCCAGACTTGTCACCCATAAAGATGCCAAAATATTCAGGTATGCACTTAATATTTACTCTTAACTGTTTGCATTTATGCTTCATAGTTACTAAGTTGATTTCTAACTCAACTTTCTAAAAAGCAGATCACTGATGATGGCTTAGCCCACCTGATAGAAACTCTTGACTTTAAATGTCTGAATATGACTCTTTAATTCCTGAACTGTTCATCTTCCCTCGTGGCATAATGATGGATAATCTGGCAATTTTGTGAAACTCTTTCAAACAATGATTGTCGAGCTAAGCATTAACAGACAACATACTCTAATGGTAACTGTCTTCCTTGAGGGCCAGTATCCAGCATGTTTTAGTTGTTTCCCTGTTCCAACACATGATTTTAATCAGCAGGAGCTTGGTGAGCTGCTGAACAAGTGAATCAACAAAAACATGAGTGGTAGTACTCTGGGACCAGGCTTGCCTACGCCTGCTCTCATTCAACACACTTCAATCACCTGTCATCAAGCTCTGCAGAAGCCTGTTAATCACCTGCTGATTAAAATCAGGCACATTGAAGCAGGGAAACTAGTAAAACATACCGGCCCACGGGGAAGGGAGTTTGGATCACTGATATGCATCCCAGTGTTTCCCTTACATAGGCGTAGCCGTGGCGGCCCACCATGGCTAAAATCCCACCGCCACGCCTACAAGGTCCCAAGTTTTATTTCTTTATTTTTTGCGCCGTTTCTCGAAGAAGCAGCAGGAACTACTGTGTTGTTGCTTGTGATCACAGCTGGCAGGCAGCAAGGAGGAGGCAGGGTGGTTACAGCTAGGGATGAGTGTACGGATAAAGCATTTTTGACTAATACGAGTGTAAAACTCGTAAATATCTGTAATCGTGCTGAAGGAAAATCCTCATTGGGTAACTGTCTTTACGCTCTGTGGTTGGCCAGACACATAGAGCGCCCGCCCCTCCCTACACACAACTCTGCAGCTGAGACGGGAGCTCAGTCCGCTCGGCCCAGGCATCCACGCACACACAGACCGTAACGGATCTGTGCTTGCTTCACTGTTGTTCACGTTTCTTCGGTACTCCTTAGGTTTTCTTCAGCTCGCCTCTTTCAGTTCAATATTTAAATTTACTTTTTTCGTAACTTACATGGTGCATTTGACAAGACGGAGCGAAAAACTGCTCGTGCATGCGTTGGTCACTGCCTCTGATCCGGTCAGGTTTTTTAAATTTATATTTACTCTCTTCTCCCTCTCTCACACACCTTGATCAACATTGTTTTGTTTAACTGTGTATAGGGAAAAATGCCAACAATGTTGGGAAACAAATCAGTTTAATCAAATTAAAATTTAAAAAAGTTGTGTCTGGTTCTAGTATTTCATATATCCTAGTTCCTACTGCATGAGTTCAGATGTATTAATTCATGCACTTAAATAATATTCTGATTTTACTGAAACTGGTTCTGTAATAGTTCCTTTACTATTGTGATCAAAAATATTTAATCTCAATTCTGAGGCTGCTCTGTAAATAGTTTTAAAATAAACACACATAGCAACTTCTGATCAATCCATATCAATTTCAGACTTAAAATAATGTATTGATGTAAACCACACACACTAATTTCCAAATAAGATGCATTAATCTGTATCTCCTTTGATCTGCATTAGTGATATTTTCAGCACCAGAACAGTGAAGCAAAGAAACAGATTCCTGAGTTTGTTAGTAATTTTATTTATTAGGTGCATCTGACCTGTTCTATTCTCTGAAATGAGATAAAATCAGTGCTTCTATGGGTTGTCTCCTCTCTGCACTAGAAACATGTACTTTATTTTAATGTTCACTGTAATGCATCTTGATCTTAACAAATGAATAACATCAAAGATATTGGTCAAGGCCAAATATGTAAATTTGTTTCGGTCATTGAAAGCACATGAAACTATGAATTCACCACAGATTATTGGCTAGCTGAGATGGATCATCTGAGTCATAAAAGCAGAACCTTTGAACAGGGTAATCTGTGGCTGTGAGGTAAATGTTGGGTGTAGCTTTGTGATTTAAGACTTATTTAAATCAGTGTGTAGCACTCTGTAATGATGTGTGCAGTAGCTAATTGAAGCCTGAGTCTGGAGCACATCATTAACCATACTGTCTTCATTTTCAGATGAGCGTTTGGAGCTGGAGGATTTCCTACAAACACTTGATGAGCTGACAGAGCTTCCTCCAGAGCCTGTTGACTTTTAGTGTGTTTTGTTTTTTTGGTGTGTTTGTCATTTTATTCAAATAAAGTTGTTTTACCTACTGTTAATCTGCCATGCATCACTTAATGATTAGCAAACTGGGTATCGCGACTTCCTGCTTTAAAGTCCATCAGAGGTCACATGAGGATTATCATGGCCCTTTGTGCGAACAGAATGAACCTTGTCTCAGTTCCTCTTAAAAGTTGAATCTGCTTTACAAACAAAACTGAAAGCGTTCAGTTTAGCAAACCTGATTTAGGTCTTGATTGGTGTAATCAGACCTGACCTGAGCTTTGGGCACAGCAGGTGAGTTAACGTGGCGGCTGGTTGGAGGAAACTGGTTTCAGGTTAGTCTTTATGGGTTTAAAATGTTCCTAAACGTGTGGAATTGTGTCTTTAACACAGGAAATGAGAACAGTAGAACAGACGGGTCTTGCGCAAGTTTAAACCCAAAGACATCTTCAGGGTGTTGTCTTAACTAAAGGAAATAGCCCCGAGCTGTGGGGGAGCAGCATGTACAGGAGAGGATCCGAGCCAGCTGTCGGCATGAATACCGACGCCCACGACAGCAGGGCATTCAGAAGGACCTCCGTTGTGGAGCGGGTGGCGAGGTACGGCATGCCGGTCATGCCCGGAGCTCTCCAGCGTAGGTCGAGACTGCAGAGGCAGCAGGAAGACGGATCCGCTCCAGAGAGGAGCTCTCTCACCACAACCACACGCAAAAAGTACCTGAAGGAGCTGCTCCTGAGCAACTCGCTGAGCAGCGTGCTGTCCTGTCACACCCTGGATGAAAACCCCCAGCAGGACGCAGACTGGGCTCTGTACCCGATGGAGCACGCCTGGATGCTGTCAGCTGTGGAGGGAAACTACGAAACTATTCTGGAGTTCATCTCGGAGGACCCCTTTCTGTTGACCAGGAGGGACTTCATCAGCGGCTACTCGGTTCTGCACTGGCTGGCCAAGAGAGGCCAGGACGAGACTCTGCTGAGGCTCCTGCGCTACGCAGAGCGCGCGGAGCTCCCGGTGAACGTGAACGTGCGGGGCAGCGGCGGACTCACCCCGCTGCACGTGGCCAGCATGCACAGACAGTACACGGTCATCAAGCTGCTGGTCGGCGCATTCGGTGCCAACGTGGACGCTATGGACTACAACGGGAGGAGAGCCTGGCAGTACCTGAGGCACGATGCGCCGCTGGAGATGAAGGAGCTGCTGGGAACATGGGACGATGAGCACAGCGGCGGAGCTGCGCAACATCCCAACAAGAACGCCAACAACAACTGCGCTGGCCCAGTCAATTCGACCGCATGTGATGAGCTAGACAGCGGAGAGACGGAAGAGGTGAGCCACTGTGAGCAGAAAACACGGAAGAGGAGCAGCAGGAAGTTAGGGTCCATTAAGAAGCTGATGTCCTCAATTCGTGGGAAAAAATCCTGAGACGCTTTAACCGTGCCGAGTTCACATAAGAAACTGCTGAAACAAATGTTAATGTGCACTAAATAGGAATCTGATGCTTTTCCTGTATGCAGACTGTACCATGAGCACTAACATTCCAGCTTGTCTTGCTGCTAAAGAACTGTTGCACTATTTCTAGACTGATTTAAATAAACATGAAATAAAACTGCTCTTTTTGAAGTCAGACACTCTCACAGCAAGGCCTCGCCAGCATTGGCTTAAAAACGAAAATCAGTTCTAAAAATAAAAACTTCACATTTGCATTTCAAGTTTTATCACTGATTTATTTTTATTGTCAAACATGAGATAATCAGTATCTGTACAAAATAACTGATGCTCCAGATGACTTGGATCCCTCCCTGCAGTTAGGCTCAGCAGCTGGAGGTACTGGGAGGATGGTGCTGCGATCCACAAACCATCCAGCTTACAGGCCGAGCTTGGTCCTCCTCCAGTGTCTCCTCTTGGAGTTGTACCTATAATTTAAAAAAAGTGATCAGAAGGAGCAAAAGGCTTTCAAAACTAACATTCAGACATATTGCTACACACACCTGTAGCAGATCATTTTCTCCATTCTGTTATTTTATGCTTTTATAGATTGAAAATATTCTAAAGACTAAACTTCCAGAGAAATTCCACTAATCCATCTCAAACCCACTGTAGGTCTCACAGGACCAGTCCCTGAATAGAACACCCATTAAATGTGCACATCAGTCAAACCCAGCAGGTGTTCAGCTTTGGAGCTTCCCCATCACCATCAAGGTGAGGAGGAACAGGAGCTCTGCAGCAGACATGCTCTCAGCAGGGTTAATGACAGCACTCTACTGATGAGTGCTGCAATTGCAGACCTGCTTTTTCTACGCATTAGTCAGCCAGACTTTTCTGGACTTAACCAGCTAGCTAAGCAATTAATGCACCACAGCTATTGACTTAAGAAAAAACTCAACAGAACCTCCCAGAAGTATTTAAAGGGCACATTAGCTTTGTGAAATGATTCATAGCATTTAGGTTAATTGTTAGTACTTTTTGGATATTAAATGTCTTAAAAGAAAATAAACCTTTTAATATTATTTAGTGCAATTTAAATTCACAGCTGAGGGACATTTGTACCCACATTATGCTCAGGAGCCAGCTATTTTAATCATTTTCCCAGGTTACTATATCATATAGCTTTTTAATGAATATAATTTACCTGTTAACACCTTTTTTTTTCTTTAAACACGTTGCACTACACTGCATCATTTTTAACTTGTATATTATGTTAGAACATCGCTTTTTTTGTTTACTCACTGGCTGCTATGATCAGTAGGTAATCAACTGATGAACATTTAAACATAACCAACACAAGGATTTGGGGGTCCGTCTAGAGTTCTGAGTGGAGCAAATTAAATGGAAAGTCTATAAATTCTTCAGAAATGTGAACATATATGAGTATCATCACCATGTAAACAGTACCAGATACAGGTAAAGAAACAGCTCCCTTTGGTTTAAATTTAAGTTTTCTCCAGGATTTCCAACCTCTGGAGGCTTTGCAGAGACCAGACCTAATCCTACAGAACATCTGACACATCACCCATACACTCACCTGATCTTGTTACCGGTCTTCATTCGGATCCACTGTGGAATCGGCCTGTTCTGTTTCTGCTTCTTAGCGAGGAAGCGCTTGATCCTGAAAGTCTTGTGGGACGACTGAAAACAAGAGAGCCCTGTCAGTAGAGGATCGCCTAAAAATGTGTTTAACCGTTGCACTAAATCGCACCAAGGAAGTTATTAGCTAACGTAGCTAATACCACGTCTCTTGAACGCATTTCACTAACTTAAACTTCATCATTTTACGCAAAATTCAGATCTTGTGTGACATGATAAATACTCGTCAATAACCCCGCAGATCCCAGACTATGTACATGCTTTACTGAAACGGATGTTTAAAGATCTTAAATTTACCATTTTTTCCACAGTCCTTTCCCGACTATGGCGGTGGTCGAAGAGGAAAGAGGAAGTGACGCAGGGTGCTTTTAACAATGAGCGTCTTTGAAACAGCGACACTAAATGGCCAATGATGGAAATACGACAATAAAGCCATATTTTCATTGAAATGGTCTGTAATAGAAGTACTGGAAGAAATTATGACTTGGCCCAACGACAATAACAAAAAATAAATATATAAATAAATAACGATTTTCTTTTTTTCCAATGGATTTTATTAGTTCCACGTAAAAATAAATGGAAATAATTTCATTGTCTTTGTGAATGCATGTTGGTTTTCTTTTGCTTAACAGACTCATCGCCAAAATTCAAAACACACACACACACATGTATGCATATATATATATAGAGAGAGACTTGTCTTAGCCCACCTGAGGCCACAGGTGAGGATGTCTCAGGACCCCCTGCAATTTGCCTACCAGCCCCACTTAGGAGTCAACGATGCTGTCATTTACCTACTGCAACGAGCCCTTTTGCATCTGGGTGGTGGGGGAGGCTAGCCTAGTGTACTAGACCAAATACTTGCTTGGCAAAGTTTGTAAATAATACATTTATTTAGTCTGGCTTGCCAGGCTAGGGGGAGGCACTATGATGGTCACATTCTTTGATTTCTCCAGCGCCTTCAACACTATTCAGCCTTTCCTGCTGGGTGAGAAGCTGCGGGTGATGGGTGTTAGCGATGCATGGATCTCCTAGATTACTGACTACTTGAGGCAGGCCACAGTTTGTCTGCCTGGGAAATGTCCTGTCTGATGTGGTGGTCAGTGATGTAGGAGCTCCACAGGGAACTGTGGTTTTGCCTTTCCTCTTCACCTTATAAATCACTGATTTTCAGTACAACTCCAAGTCATGTCACCTGCAGAAGTTTTCTGATGACTCGGCTGTTGTGGGGTGTAAGAGAAGGAGAGGAGGATGAGTACGAAGCACTGGTAGATAACTTTGTGGAGTGGTCTGAACAGAATCACCTGAGGCTGAATGTCAGCAAAACCAGAAAGATGGTGACTGACTTCAGGAAGAACCTTCACGGCCACTACAGATCAGTGGGGAGGCTGTGGAAGAAGTGGAGAATTACAAGTACCTGGGTGTTGTGATAGACAACAGACTGGACTGGGTTTCTAACACAGAGACTGTGTATAAGAAGGGTTACGCTCACACCAGTCCAAAATACCCCTCAGACACACAGCTGACAATGGCTGAGTCATCAGAGAACCTCTGGAGGTGACAGCTGCTGGTGTTGTAGGTGAAGTCTGAGGTGTAGAAGATGAAGAGAAAGGGTGAGAGCACTGTACCCTCTGGAGCTCCAGTACTGCACACAACAACCACAGATGTACAGTTGTGCAGCCTCACATACTGTGGCCTGTTGGTGAGGTTGTTGATGGTCCATGCAGTCAGATGTTTGTACTGCTGCACTCCTAATCTTCAGCAGTAGACACGGCTGGATGGTGTTGAAGGCACTTGAGGTCGAACATGACTCTCACGGTGCTTTTTTGCATCTCGAGGTGAGTCAGATTCCGGTGCTGCAGGTAGATGACGTGTCCTCCACCTTCATGTTTGGTTTATATGCAAATTGCAGTGGGTCTATTTCTGAGCTCACCACTGAACATAGATGGGTGAGGATGAGTCTCTCCATCATCAAATCTGTTAAAAAACAGGTTAAGCTCATCGGCCCAGTTCTGGTCCCTTTCAGCAGATTCACTGGCACCACTCCTCCCACTGTGTCCTGTGATGTCCCTGAGACCTCTCCATGCACCGTGTTCTGCTCCAGCTTCTTCTTGAAAAAAAAAACCTTCCCCCATCTGATCTGACCCATCTAAGCTCCTTTTGGACTCGTCTCTGCTCCTCTTTATCTTCAGCCATCGTTCAGCATGTATTTCAGCGCAGGGGTCGACCAGGGTTTATTGTTCCAGAAACACCTCATTCTTCGTGTTCGGACGGTGTTCTCTACGCAGTGTGTCAGGCTGTCAAGGCCATCGCCATGAGCGCTGCAAAGTGTCTCCCAGTCTGTGGTGTAGAGTCCTTCAGCCTTTCTGTTGCTCCCTCAGTCCACACTCTCACGATTGTTCACTGAGGAGGTGCCCTAATTGCCCTGGGTATGTATTCAGGGATCAGATGAATGAGGTTGTGATCTGAGCGGCCGAACGGAAGGTGGAAGTGTGTGTTTTGTCACATTAGCGTGCAGGAGATCAATTGTCTTACTGTCTCTGGTGTGGCACTTCAAATATTTGGTAAAGGTGGGGAGAGTGGAGGAAACCGAGGTGTGATTAAAATTCCCACTGATGAGAATGAGTGCCTCTGGGTGAGCCGTCTGGAGCTTCTCCACAAAACGTAACTGCTCGCATGCAGCAACTGCATCGGCCGAGGAGTGGGCGGGTGTACACATCACTGTAGAAATAGTCAGGTATTTTTGATTTATAGGGTGCTGGAGTGTGCCCTCGTTTTCTGAAAGCTGTTCTACAATTGAAGGAGTTTATTATAATGAAGTTTTTATTAAAATAATAACTACAAGCAGCTTTGCATGAAAACGAAGCTTGCTATCTCCGGGAACACAACGTCGAATATACGACGCAAAAAAGTAGAAAAATCAACTTTTGCAAAGACTTTTTAGTCAGAAATGTAGCCTCTTTATCAGTATCACCTTTAATGACATATTAGTAATAAAAAAGGGATAAGGCCACATGTTTATCACTGATTGTTTATATACATGCGGTCACGTGGCAGTCTACTTAGAAATGGCTAATTCTCCTCCAGGTTTCCATAGTAACAAGCATACCACAGAATCCCAGACCAGATCAGTTTATGATGCATAGGTACTTTATCTCAAACTATTAAATATCTCACAAGAAAAATCCAGAAATCACCTTGAAGAAACCACGTGTTGACATAGTGAACATTATAAATTTATTTTAGAGTGATTTAGATAACGAGCGTGAAGGCACCTTTTTTGCAGAGTGTAAAACACTTTTCCTCCAAAGCGATAATGCTGAATTAAGTTCACTTTGACATCACATGGTCCCCAAAACTTTGGCTTCCTTGAATGTGCCCTACAGCCAAACTCCTTCAGAAGGTGAATCGTTTCTTCTCCTAACACAGACCAAAGAGGATCACACCTCTGCCTCCGAAACTGGGAGCCCTGCTTAATCAGTGGAGCGCGTGGCTCCGAGACGCCATACTGCTGCTCGCAGGCCTGTCTCTTCACCTAACTCAAATGAACAAAAGCAGAGGTCTGCTCAGTCGTCTACTTTCTCAGCCACGTTCTTGCTCTCAGTATCTGGTTTTCTGTCGGCAGAGTTGGATTCTCTTCTGTCTGCTCCTGGTGTGGCACGGTGGCGGCTCCGGGCCCCTGGCTGGTAAAGCTGAATGGCGGGTCGGTCCTGTTGCAAATAATATAAATAAAATATTACAAAAGGAAAACAAACTCAGAAATTATTTGGCACAAGTGTGAGAAATAACTGGAGTCCGTACCTTATTCCGCAGTCGCTCCCTTTTGCTGCTCTCATCCTTTTTGTTCTCTTTGGCAGCCTTCTCCGTTTTCTCACCGCGAGGGGAATCTGCCATGTTTTCATTCCTCTTCTTCTCCAACGCCTTTTCTTTTTTAATCTCCTCTTCCCGCTTCCTGAACGTGTTCTCTCCATCATGCTGCTCCCTCCTCCTCCGTCTTTCCTCGTCCTGCCGTCTGAAGCGCTCCTTTTCCCTCTGCCGCCGCTCCTCCCGCTCTCTGTCTCGATCAAAGTCCCGCTCCCTGAATTCCTTTCTCCCACTTTCATCTCTTCTAAAAGGAAATCACAGCTGGAGTTAAATCAGTTAAATGTACAAACAAAAGTGCAAAATGCCAGGAAAAAAAGAACAAGAACTGACTTTCTTTCACGATCCTCCTTGTTCTCGATGTTATGTCTCCTCTTCAGATCACTGAATGACCGGACCTCTTTATGTGGCTTCTCTGGTTTCTTGGACTTCTCTTTAGGCTTTTCAGACTCTGCTTCATCATTTCTATCTGGTTTCTTCAGGAGCTGAATATAAAGACACAATCATCATGAGAAACTTGAAATTGACAGATGCATTTTTTTTTTCACTGCACGAACCTTAATTTTTGGTTCTTCCTTAAAGTGGTCCTTGTCTTTCTCCGGCAGTTTCTCAAGTCTTTTCATCTTCTCAGCCTCTTTCCGTTTTCTCCTCTCCTCCTCCCTCCACTTGCGACGCTCTTCGTCACGCAGGCGCTTGCGTTCAAGCTCCCTCCTTCGTCTCTCCTCTCTCTTTTCCTCCCTGATTCTCTGAAAGTTAAAATAGAAAGTTTGATGGATTCTTGCTAACATGCAGTTGAACCAATTTATCCTAAACACCAAAAAACGATTACCACATGCTTACCTGTTTATTCTTCAGGTAGTCCAACAAGGGCGTGGTCTTTTTAGCTAAAAGAAAGGGGAAGAAACCCACAATAAGAAATCTTGTCAAATGCAATGCTCCTGTTTACATACAAGCAGTTATAACAGTCCCATTTTTGGTTCTTTTTTAAACACAGATAAGGTTTTTCTTTACCTTGCTGACGTTTCGTTTACGGCTGCAAACATCTTCAGAGCTGACGCTGATGGTGGCGTCACTTCCTACACATCCACATCAGCGGCAGCTCTGAAGATGTTTGCAGCCGTAAACGAAACGTCAGCAAGGTAAAGAAAAACCTTATCTGTGTTTAAAAAAAGAACCAAAAATGGAATTTGAAGACAAACACAGCAAGTGATAACGGTGCTGTCATAAACAAACCTTCAAGTTCTTTTGATCTGGCCTCGATCTCCTCCAACAAGGTCTCAGGCGTAGATGTCAGCTTCTCTTCGTCTCCGTTGTAATATTCAAGAAATTTTTTATAATCAGGATCTGATAAAAACACAAACATGCTGAGCTATAGATTTTTATAGATAGATCTCAAAATAGATATGTTAGGGACGAACATGGAGTTTCTTCAAGCTTATTTCTTTTTATAACAGAGAAGATCAAAACCACCAGACAGTTTAAACCCTTGCCTTCAGTAATTGTTCCACACTTCGAGTCCTTCTTCTTACTTCTTTTCTTGGCTATCTTTTGAAACGGCGCAAACTCCACAATGGCTGGATACTCCTGTCCTGTTGAATGGCCAAACATAAACAAGGACAGTCTCAGGTCAACGCTCTGGAACACTTCACAGAAAACTGGGTGTGTGTTCTTGATACCTCTGTTGTCTATGAACACATATCCATCGAATCGATCTCTGAAGAGAACAATATCATCTTCATTTTTGAAACTGATGTAAGCCCTCGCGAAGAGATGGGGATACAGGCTAAAATGACCGGAAGTGCCATGTTAGACCAACACAATGAAGGAAATGCTAACAGTCATTTTACAGGTGAACTCACCTGGTGTCGTTTGAGAAAAACTCCATGTAGTCCACCTCTGGGAGAGGCTGCAGCTGCTCCTCTAACTCCTCTTTAGACAGACTTGGTGGTAATCGTCTGATTACAATCTACGAACACATTGTAAAAAGTTCACTACCTTAATTACTAAGCAGGGCTTTGTAAAATGAAATTTTGGTCCAGTCTTTAAATGTATAATTTCAATCGTAGAACATTTTATCTGAAAACAAAAACAAAACAAAAAAGTTAAACCATGCTTTTATTTAATAGAACTACACGAATCCAAAACTGACGGCTGTAGCAACATTAGCTGCTTTAGCTAGCAAGTTTTACCTTTGTCATGGCCTCTTTCTTTTCTTTTGACTTCTCAGTCTTTTCTCCATCTTCACACTTTAGCTCCACTTTTTTCTCCTTCGGTCGAGTGTTTTCTTTGTCTTCTTTCATAGCTGAACGTCTACAGAGATCCACAGCCTGCTCTCATCTCACTCAACAGACTTGTTTACTTTTCAGAGAGTTAGCCAGCTAGCAGCTAGATACTAACCGCTCGAAACTTCCTTTCTGACTACTGAAGCTGCATTTACAAGTTTTTACCAGGAGGTGGCGCTAAAAACAAAGCAATTACACATTTTAAAAAAATGTTTTTGGTAATTACTATTTTCGGTAATTACTGGTAATTATATTTTTGTTAATGTCCATTCTAAAATATTTTTCTATAGTAATTTTTTTGTAGAGCTAGGGTTAAGTCTGATGTAAAGTTAAGATTGAGATATGTCTACTGTCCACTTAGTGACACTAGACATCTTTTTATTGGAAACATTGCATTGTTTCCCTATTTGTGTTTCAAATTTTCACTGTTCGTTACTTTTATGTATTTGATTAATGTATTTTGTGATACGTTTATCCCACGACCCTGCATGGACTAACAGGTATAGAGAGTGGATGGATGATACTTTTATTTTATTTATCTTTTAATAGTATTACCAAATTGTATCTTTATCTGTTTATAAAGTTACTCTATCTATCTATCTATCTATCTATCTATCTATCTATCTATCTATCTATCTATCTATCTATCTATCTATCTATCTATCTATCTATCTATCCATCCATCCATCCATCCATCCATCCATCCATCCATCCATCCATCCATCCATCCATCCATCCATCCATCCATCCATCCATCATCTAGTAAAGTAAGTAAGTACATTTTATTTATATAGCACTCATCAAAGACAGAAAACCACAGTGCTTCACATAGATCAAAACAAAACAAATCATAAAGTCATAAAATCATAATGATCTTAAAAAAAGATTAAAACAGAAAAGTTAAGTCATTAAATGATAAAATACCATAAAACAGATGAAAGATGATTTCTAATTTTGAGTTAAAAATAAGAAAATAAAAGATTTAGGTAAAAGTAGCTTTAAATAAAAGGGTCTTTAGCTGTTTTTTAAAAGTGTCTAAACTGTCAATGCTACATAAAGATATAGGAAGATCATTCCAGAGTCGGGGTGCAACAGTCTGGAAGGAGCTATCCCCTCGACTTTTATATCTGGTCTTTGGAACATCTGGAACGTTCTGGTGAGTGGACCTGAGGGCTCGGATTGGAGCATAAGGCTTTAACAGTTCAGTAATATAGGGCGGAGCTTGACCATGTAGAGCATTGAAAGTTGTCGTCGTCGTCTTCCTCCGCTTATCCGGGTCCGGGTCGCGGGGGCAGCATCCCAACTAGGGAGCTCCAGGCCGTCCTCTCCCCAGCCTTGTCCACCAGCTCCTCCGGCAGGACCCCAAGGCGTTCCCGGACCAGATTGGAGATGTAACCTCTCCAACGTGTCCTGGGTCGACCCGGGGGCCTTCTACCGGCAGGACATGCCCGAAACACCTCCCCGGGGAGGCGTCCAGGAGGCATCCTGACCAGATGCCCAAACCACCTCAACTGGCTCCTTTCGATCCGGAGGAGCAGCGGTTCTACTCCGAGTCCCTCCCGAATGTCCGAGCTCCTCACCCTATCTCTAAGGCTGAGCCCGGCCACCCTACGGAGGAAACTCATTTCGGCCGCTTGTATCCGCAATCTCGTTCTTTCGGTCATTACCCAAAGCTCATGACCATAGGTGAGGATTGGGACGTAGATCGACCGGTAAATCGAGAGCCTGGCTTTCTGGCTCAGCTCCCTCTTCCCCACGACAGATCGGCTCAGCGTCCGCATCACTGCAGACGCCGAACCAATCCGCCTGTCGATCTCCCGATCCCTCCTACCCTCACTCGTGAACAAGACCCCGAGATACTTAAACTCCTCCACTTGAGGTAGGACCTCTCCCCCGACCCGGAGGTGGCAAGCCACCCTTTTCCGGTCGAGAACCATGGTCTCAGATTTGGAGGTGCTGATCCTCATCCCAGCCGCTTCACATTCGGCCGCGAATCTACCCAGCAAGAGCTGAAGGTCAGAGCTGGATGAAGCTAGGAGGACCACATCATCCGCAAAAAGCAGAGACGAGATTCTCCTGCCACCAAACTCGACACACTCCACACCACGGCTGCGTCTAGAAATTCTGTCCATAAAAGTGATGAACAGAACCGGTGACAAAGGGCAGCCCTGGCGGAGTCCAACCCTCACTGGGAACAGGTCCGACTTACTACCGGCTATGCGGACCAAACTCACGCTCCTCTGGTAAAGGGACTGAATGGCCCTTAACAGAAAGCCACCCACCCCATACTCCTGGAGCGTCCCCCACAGGGTGCCCCTGGGGACACGGTCATAAGCCTTCTCCAAATCCACAAAGCACATGTGGATTGGTTGGGCAAACTCCCATGGCCCCTCCATCACCCTTGCAAGGGTATAGAGCTGGTCCACAGTTCCACGGCCAGGACGAAAACCACATTGCTCCTCCTCTATCTGAGATTCAACTATCGATCGGACCCTCCTCTCCAGTACCTTGGAGTAGACCTTTCCAGGGAGGCTGAGGAGTGTGATCCCCCTATAGTTGGAACACACCCTCAGGTCACCCTTCTTAAAGATGGGGACCACCACCCCGGTCTGCCACTCCCTAGGAACTGCCCCCGATGACCACGCAATGTTGTAGAGACGTGTCAACCATGACAGCCCTACAACATCCATAGCCTTAAGATACCCAGGACGAACCTCATCCGCCCCCGGGGCTCCGCCGCTGTGTAGTTGTTTGACTACCTCAGCAACTTCTGCCCCCGAGATCGGACAGTCCATCCCCAGGCCTCCCAGCTCTGGTTCCTCCTCGGAATGCGCATTGGTGGGATTGAGGAGCTCCTCAAAGTATTCCTTCCACCGTCCGACTATAGCCTCAGTTGACGTCAGCAGCTCCCCATCCCCACTGTAAACAGTGTGAGCGAGTTGCTGCCTTCCTCTCCTGAGGCGCCGGACAGTTTGCCAGAACCTCTTTGGAGCCGATCGATAGTCTTTCTCCATGGCCTCACCAAACTCCTCCCACGCCCGAGATTTTGCCTCGGCAACTGCCACTGCTGCACCCCGCTTGGCTATCCGGTACCTGTCTGCTGCCTCCGGAGACCCACAGACCAGCTACGCCCTGTAGGCCTCCTTCTTCAGCCTGACGGCTCCCCGAACCTCTGGTGTCCACCAGCGGGTACGGGGGGTTGCCACCACGACTGGCACCGGCCACCTTACGACCACAGCTAGCAACAGCCGCCTCGACAATCGCAGAGTGGAACAAGGCCCACTCGGACTCAATGTCCCCCACTGCTCTCGGGACGTGGTCAAAGCTCTGCCGGAGGTGGGAGTTGAAGACCGTCTTGACAGGTTCTTCTGCCAGGTGTTCCCAGCAGACCCTCACTATGCGTTTGGGTCTGCCAGGTCTACGCGGCATGTTCCCTTGCCATCTGATCCAACTCACCACCAGGTGGTGATCAGTTGACAGCTCCGCCCCTCTCTTCACTCGGGTGTCCAAAACATACGGCCGCAGTTCAGATGATACGACTACAAAATCTATCATCGACCTGTGACCTAGGCTGCCCTGGTACCAAGTGTACCGGTGGGCATCCTTATGTTCGAACATGGTGTTCGTTATGGCCAAACTGCGGCTTGCACAGAAGTCCAATAACAAAACACCGCTCGAGTTCAGGTTAGGTGGGCCGTTCCTCCCAATCACACCCCTCCAGGTCAAGCTGTCATTGCCCACGTGAGCATTGAAGTCCCCCAGCAGGACAATGGAGTCCCCTGATGGAGCACTATCAAGCACTCGTCCCAGGGACTCCAAAAAGGGTGGGTACTCTGAACTGATATTTGGCCCATAAGCACAAACAACAGTCAGGACCCGTTCCCCGACCCGAAGGCGCAAGGAAGCTACCCTCTTGTCCCCCGGGGTAAACCCCAACACACAGGCAGAGAGTCTCGGGGCTAACAAAAAGCCAACCCCAGCCCTCCGCCTCTCACCCGGAGCAACTCCAGCAAAGTAGAGTGTCCAACCCCTCTCCAGGTCTCGGGTTCCAGAGCCAATGCAATGTGTCGAGGTGAGTCCGACTATATCTAGCCGGTACCGCTCAACCTCTGCCACAAGCTCCGGCTCCTTCCCCGCCAGCGAGGTGACGTTCCATATCCCAAAAACTAGTTTTCTTGTCCGGGGATTGGACCGCCAAGGCTCCCGCCTTGGTCTGCCACCCGATTCGCATTGCACCGGTTTACATTGAAAGTTGTAATCAGGATTCTAAAATGAACTCTAAAGTTAACGGGTAACCAGTGCAGAGACATCAGAATAGGAGTGAGGTGTGCTCTTCTGTTTGCTCCAGTTAGGAACCTCGCTGAAGAGTTCTGGACCAGCTGAAGGCGGTCAAGGGTTTTTACGTTAAAACATGAGAAGAGTGTGTTACAGTAATCTAGACGGGAGGAGATAAGGGCATGGATAACCATTTGAAGTTCATGTTTTGACACCAACCTTTGCAGTTTGGATATATTTCTCAAATGATAAAATCTAACCAACTAACTGTATTTCCGTTTGCCCATCTGTCTCTGTATTTATATTGATATAGATAAATATCGATAAATAAACAGATATAATATAAATAAACTGCACATCCTTTTTTCTAATTAAAGACCTAACCACCTCGATGTCTCAAACAAGGAGGAAACTCCCCCTGCTGAAAGTGAAGCCAACAAGTAGGTGACAAAAATGATAGTTCCCCCCTTATCCCCTAGGGGCTGGCTCCAAAACAAAGCAAATCCCCATCAACTCCCATGGGGGCATCTCTCAGTAGTCTTTTTGTTTTATAAGATTATAGGGCTTCTGCATGCTCTGGCCACCCGGCTCTGATTGCCGTGGCATGGGGCTGTAGCCGTGCTGTCTGTGGAGAAACACCACAGCTCAGTGAGTCGATGTGTGCTTGACATTAGAGTCGCTCAACCTTGTTTTTTTGGCTGAAAGTACTGGCACACCTCTGTTAGATTTGGTCAGCCCAGTTAGCCTGCAGTTATGTTGGCTCAGACTTAAATTGCAGTCCACATTCTCACAGCCCTGTTCCCAGCTCCCCCTCTTTGCTCATTTTTGCATTGTCCTGGAGTGACGAGCTGTGA